ATACCTCAAGGACCACCTCTTTCCATATGAACCTACCTGGACCCTGAGATCATCTTCTGAGGACCTCCTTCATCTGCCTCCTTCTCAAGAGGTCCAGAGGGTGGCAATACAAGGGCCTTCTTTGCAGTGGCTCCCCACCTGTGGAATGCTCTCCCCAGGGAAGTTCGCATGGCACCTTCATTATACACCTTTAGGGACCAGGCAAAAATGTTCCTTTTTAACCAGGCCTTTGGTTGATCAGTTTGACATCCTATACCTTTCTAAAATGTGGCTCTATTTTTTTTTGGGGGGGGGTGTTATTGGGTTGTTGTTTTTATTCTGATTATATATCTTACAATCTTTTCTGGGAACTGCCCTGAGACCTCCGGGTATAGGACGGTATATAAACTTAATAATAATCATAATAATAAACCTTTGTTGAGTTAGGGACTTCCCCTACATGCGAAGATGGTCTCAGGTGGACTGAGCGGAAGATGCCAATGGTCAAAAGGGCAGTTTTGATTTTAGAACTCTCCACAATCACGATGTGGCTGTAGCATGGCTGCAATGCAACAAGTAACATGTCTGCTCTTGTGTGGTGCGTTCACTGAATTTTATTGCATTCATTTCCTTCATGGTGCATTTTTCTCCCAATACAGTGGTGCCTCAGGTTACATACGCTTCAGGTTATAGACTTCACTAACCCAGAAATATTACCTCGGGTTAAGAACTTTGCTTCAGGATAAGAACAGAAATCGGGCTCCGGTGGCGCAGCGGCAGCAGGAGGCCCCATTAGCTAAAGTGGTGCTTCTGGTTAAGAACAGTTTCAGGTTAAGAACGGACCTCCGGAACGAATTAAGTACTTAACCCGAGGTACCACTGTACTCTCAAAGTTTTTCACTATATTATTCTAGTTTTTTCTCCCTCCAGCAGGTTACTAGATTAGTATCCATAAGTAATAAAATACCATTTTCCAGTATGTCCAAGGAATGGATTTGTCAGCTCTGCCTAGGCAACCTGGTTCTTGCCCAAACATGAGATTCCATCCCTAAGGCAACGGGGGTGGGAACATGCTGTAGCTTTCCAATCCTCAAGTTTAAGCTTGATATTGAACTAATATCTAAGTCTTTTCATGTACAAACAGCTTTCTTGAAAACCAGCTGTATATGGTTCAGACACAAGATGGCAAAGTCACCTTGGCTTGACTACTTCCAGCATCCTCACAGAATGATTATATCATTACTTGCTGCCACCGTGTTAAGAACTACTTATTCATTTATAGTACTTATCTCCCACTTTAGAGCGCTCAAACGTTCTTACAGCAACTTACTACTAGGGTGGCCACCTATTAACAAAAAATATTTCCACAATTAAAAAAAAAATCAGACTCAAAAGTGGAGCACAGGAACAGATAGTACATGATGATGATAGCATTATTCAGGTGGCAGTTGTGCTTGGTCACCACCTAACAGACAGCAGCTCCTACCAAAGGCAGAGAGGGCTGAGTAGCTGGAACTCACTCAGCCTGTGATAAAGGCAAATCTTCCCTTCCAGCGTTGGACTGAAGTTACTGGTAAAGATGGCAATCCTAGCTCCTGCTTCTACCTCCACCAAGCTTCTGTTTATTGCCTTACCTGACCAGGTCGCCTCTCTCCCCTTGCCTGCTTTATGGTGGGATTTTGTAACCACTCAGTGGTAGAACTGTAGCAGAATATTACTTTGCAGATTTCCCAAAAATTGGTGTTTGTGGACTCCATCATGCACTAAAGGCAATGCAACCACCAGTCCTCCTCTTTCACATGGCATGGGAACAACTACACATTTCCAAGTTGCAGTATTGTAAAGAATACTAATCTTATGCCTGGGAGATAAAACAGAAGAATAACCATCTAGAAATAATTTCACGGACTGGAGGAGGAAAGAAGTCTACACCTTGAGTTACGACAATGCACTCCACATGCATAGAAAACAAAAAACCCAGTGCTTGTCTCCCATGGGAGATGGTGGGCTTCCCTTCCTTGGAGGTTTTTTTGGGCAGAGGTTGGATGGCCATCTGTCTTGGATGCTTTAGTTGAGATTCCTGCATCGCAGGGTGTGTGTGTGTGTGCACTAGACAGCCCTCGGGGTCCCTTCCACTCTACAATTCTATGATTCCATGAAACACAAGATAGCGGAGAATGAAAACACTGAAGCTCAGTCGCAGACCATTATTTGCAATTTCACTGGAACGTAGGAAAGCTACCTTATACTAGGGTCAGCCTACTTGTCCATTTTGCACGGAGCTGTCTACTTTGACTGGCAACAGCTCTCCAGGGTTTCAGGTTCAGATCTTTCCGAAACCTGCTATCTGCTGTTTTAAAAGTATTAAAAAAAGAACCCTGGAGATGTCAGGGGCTGAGCATGGAAGTTCTGCATGCAAAGGATGTGCTCTGCTGCCACTGAGCTTTGATCCCATCCCCTTGAGTATAGATAGCACTGAAGAGTTGGTGTTTTTTTTAAAAAAAGTATTGTTCTTTTCTTTGAAGTCTTCGCTTTTCTCTGAAGTTGGCTTCCTCCTTTCCTGCCGTACAGTATATAAAACCATCTCTTGCTGCAAAATGCATTCACCATCCATTCATTTTGGATGTTATCTGTGTTCCAGAGAATCCCTCCTAAAAAACCCCCAACAAAAACAAAACAAAAACCCTGGTATGTTTCCTTAGCTGTGGACATGCAACATGGGGGAGCTATAAATTAATCTGCTTAAGCTTTTGTCTTGCATATTTCTAAGATACAGTTTGTTACAGAGGTTTATCTGTGTGCTTATCCATCTTGTATTTTTAGCTATTGGTTTGGCACAGTAAGACCCAGCAAAATAACACATCAACACAACACCCAGCTAAAAACAAATATACAGCTAAGCAGTAATATGAACGCCACAAGAATACAGGAAACCAGAAGCATTCTATTTTTGCCCAGTTCAAAATCATATCAAAGCATCAATGTCTTGGCATGGCTTCTCAAGAAGAAGAACAGAAAGGGAACTTTGCAGAGAAGTCTAAAGCCTGGAGCTACCACTGAAAAGGCCCTATTCTATGTCTCTGCCCATCGCACCTTAGTCAGCAGAGGAACATCTCCCCTGCTGGAAACCTGAGTATTTGGGTATGTTGCTAGACTCACGGAAAAATTCTGATTCAATTTTTATTTTTACCGTATTTTTAAATTAAATAATAATTTTACAGATCTAGAACACCCCACGAGCCTCTCACTAACACTACAAGAACATCCTCCAACCCATCTTCTTAAAATTCATAATCTCTGGAGCCCAAGATGTGAAAGGGAGAGGGGAGGGGCAACAGCACTGTATCCATAGGAAGCTTCTGGTACTGGCTAATTCCTCTGTACTGTCTGCTATGAGGAGAAGTGGTGCTCTGTGTTGGAACTTACATATCTTTCCTGTTATCTAATCCTTTTAACAAGAGATACCAAAGATTGAACTTTCTGCACACAAAGCATGTGCTCTAACCCTGAACTATTGAGCCAAGTGTTGCAGCCAAGAGGAATTGAGCAAGACTTAGCCGCTCCTCTGCACCAGGTGAAAGCGTGAGTCATACACATGTCTAGTCCTAATCACACTCCAGTCATGAAATCACTGGCTGAATTTACACAAACCATTCTCCCTTTGCCAGATCTGGCTAAGTGGCTATTGACCTTCCTAGCAGGAATGGAAAAAGGTATTTAAAAATAAACAAAGCAGGGAACTGGGAGCCTTGCAGACTAAAGCTAGGTGGCGTATACATTTTACCCAAACATGGAAATCTTTGCCAATAAGACAAAGAAGTTGTGGCAAATCTAGGCCTTTAGAGAATTGGATGAGGTCCACTCGGCTGCTATCTAAAGTTGCAAGTCCACTTGGCTGGCGTCTAAAGCTGCTTGGTCAACAGTAAACTTGCAAACTGTGTTATTTACCCTAAGCAGAACTGTAACAATTCCGAAATGCCAAACTCACTCTGCTCCAGTTCTCACTTCTGTAACAAATATTGTCTCCTTCTTCAGTTTGGTCCTCCTCAATGTAGTACTTAAGAACCTAAGAAAAATCTGCTGGATCAGGCCAACAGTCAGTATCCTGTTCTCATAACAACCAACCATATACCTATGGAAGGCACTCAGGCGGCACTAGAGTGCAAGACCACTCTCCCCTCCTGCAAATTCCAGCAACTCGTATTCAGAAGTGCGCTGGCTCTGACAGTGGAGGCAGAACATAGTCAAGAGGGTTAGCTCATGTTCTTAACGTTTCTTAAATTACTTTTGGTCTCTGGCGACCTTTGCCTCCTTCCATGCTTATCTTCTCCAAATCTTTTCTTTTCAGTTCTAACCTCCACCCAGCCACCCTTTTCCAACTCCATCCCCCTTGACTTGGAACTCTCCCCAGGGATCTTTCAGCTTCCTTCCACTCTGGCCTCTCACTGGTCCAGATCAAGTTCTCCTCTCATTGTCAGAACAAGCCTATGTATGTCCACGGCTAAGATCAGATTCGTGTTACTGCATCACTGGCCTTTCCTGAATGATGTTGCGTCCAAGTAAGCAGCAAGGGAAGAAGCGACAAGGAAGCAGTTCGCATACCACTGTAAAACATATGACCGGGCCCTAAGAACATTCCAGAGTAGAAATTAGCCTCAACATGAATATTTCACTCTATTATCTCCTGTATTCGGCTTTAAACAAGAGATTTGATCTGAATGGAGGAAGCTGAAATCCTGTTCTGCTAATCAGACTCTAAACATCACGACATAGTATACATAAGGGGCTAGGTTGTCTCCTGTTTACAGCTGTAAATCAGCAGGCATAAAAGTTGCTTGATTGGAGATGTTCCGCTGAAAAAGCATCCATACCAATAAACATGACAGTATGTTTCTAACAGCTAAACTAATTCTGTATCTAGCGCTATAGCTGCAATCCTAAACGGTTTCTCAAAAGCAAGCCTAACTGAATGCAGATCGACTCAGTAAATGTGCATTGTCTTGTAATAATAATAATAATAATAATAATAATAATAATAATTTATTTATATCCCGCACTCCCCAGCCGAAGCCGGGTTCAGAGCGGCTAACAACAGTAAAATAATACAGCATTCCAAAATCAATTCATTATAAAATCAGTTCAAATCAAATTGATGGCAACCATTGGGCTAGGGTTCTGTGAAGAATTACCAAAGGATAGCCTAAGGATAGCCTAAGATTACCAAAGAATAGCCTAAGATACCAAAGGATAGCCTAAGAACATAGGATTAGTTTCTAATTTATTTTTTTAGCTTCTCACTCAGAGTGGGACTATTGCAGCCTGTCAAAGTTACCAAATCACCTTTTGCTTTGCGAGGAAACTGTGTATTCAGAAAGATGCTTCACTTAATTATCAAGGTTCTCCATTATTTATCTCCTCACAAAGAAGTTGATTTAACACACTCGTCCGTTTCAGAGCCTCTATGTTAGAAATATCCTCGCTGATGACAGGCACATCCTCTTTCTGTTTCCCAGCTGTCAATTCATCCTCGCTGTCCGAGAGCGTACAGAGAAGGGTATCGTTTTCATAGGTAGGAAAATAATACCTGGAAAGAACAGTGAAGAACAGCGTCATACCTTGTCACTGAAAAGTCCCCTTTACAAACATGCTTTTAACTGGCGACATTGGTCCTGCTTCCACATGGCATTACCTTACTGTTTGCATATCCCGGCTGACAAAGCCTAGTGTGGGGTATGCATATGAATATTGTAACCATGTAGGCGGGTGCCAATCACATGGGAAAGAGAGACAATTTGAGACCTCCCACATGAGTGCAATATTTAAACATGTTTCCTAATACTGCTCCCCACATTGCTGGGGAAGCAGCCCCAATATTTGGATGGGCAAGCATACATGCACAGTATGTTTTCTTCCATATAAATCAAAACATTTAGTTATTAGAAATCTTAACAGGAGTTTATGGGCTGTTTAAGGTAATAATACTGTATATTATTTCTAAACATCCACCCTGTATTTAATTTATTCTGCTTGGAGTAATGACCTGGTTCCATCCAACTCACTGCACTGTGAGTTCTGGGTGCAGGGCACGAGTTGGGTCCATTACTCACAGCCAAAGTGAAAATGTAAATTTGTGGTCGAGGACAGCTCACTTTCTAACTTTATCCATAACCTGGTAAAAGTCATGCACTCACCAAGGGGCATATTGCATTCCTTGTATTATATCACTTGGGGAATACCCAAGCAAAGTGGACATTGCAGTCTGTTCTATCGCCCTTTTACTCTAAAGGTATGTGGCTATCAGATACTACGCATAACACTTATTAAGTCTTCGGAAAAGACAAAGCAGGCCCATATGGTACAGCAAGGGCAGAGAATGCGGAATCCATGTCTCATTTACAAGACACTAAGCTGGTTCTCATGAAACAGTATGTCAAACTATGACTTACTGAGACTTTGCAGGCTCCAGGATAGAGGACACACTACTAAGCCAAAGCTTATTTTCCTCAGGGCAGTAAAAAAGATCCGGGGTGCAGCAAAGTGGCTGTAAGTTTCTTTCCGGGGGATGGGGTGGGGCTGCACATTCACATGGATTCTGTAAGCTAAAGTTTGGCTTACTGTGCCGTGCAAACCAGGTCACAATCATGAACTGAGCACAACGCTGGAGATAAACAAAAACACTCTTACTGTGGCTGATCCCACATGGATCTGGCTGGCAGAAGTGTTATATGTCTGGTCTCTTCCATATGATTTACCAACTCCCTTTTCAATTGGAATTTCTCCTGGCAACTGTAGCATCGACACTGATGGACCTCTCTTCTGATGAAGTTCAACAATTTCACTTGCTGATAGAAATTCAAACCTAGCAGAGAAAAGTATTATTTTTTTTAAGGTGCAGGGGGAAAGGGGGACTAGAAGACACAAGCAGTGAAGGTAACCATTTTGGCCCATTAAAAAAATGAAATAAATCCAAATTAGGATAATACTTTTATTAAGCCAACCAATATATCACAAAATAGCTAAAAAGCTTTTGAGTTCTTAAGAAGTCTTCATCGGGCTAGGTGGTAAACAGAATATTGAGGGGGTTAGTGGGAGCAAGGAGAAAGCATTTTTTTGGCTTATGTTCGACCCATGGAGTATGTGTCTAGTTGCAGTCTTAAGATGGAACAGGGAAGGAGGTATCTAAATCTTTTCTGCCATTCCCCCAATTCTCCAGAGCTGATTTGGGGAGGAAGCACATGTGAGAGGAAGCATAGGCTGCTTTGTTGCACAAGAGTAAATCCTTGCACTAAAAGAACAAGAACAATACATACTGTCCTCAATCTGCTTACTACAGTGATTTATTGAGAACTACTATATGTATCTCATGCTACCCTTTTACATTCAGGAAAGGTCAGAACTGCCAAAACTGAAACATTTGGGAGTGACATAGGTTGACTTCTGGTCCTGCACTTCTAAGAAGACACATTTCTAGCAGCGGTAGAGGTCCCTGATACAGTATATGCTTTTTACTCACCATGATCAGCCTTAATGTTTAGCAGGTCGAATCCATGAGCCTCCTGGAATTTGGGAAGAGCAAAAAGGGCTTCTAATTGTGAATAATTAAGAATTTTTCAAATTGAAAACACCTGAAGTTTATAAATAACAGGGACACCTTAGCAAGTATGCTGTGATTACAGGCTACAGACTACTGCTGTATGATTGCTGAAAATTCTTCACACTACTGTTGTTAGGAGGTGACAAGCAGCATCACAGGAAATCAAACTACCGTTCCACCTAGCAGAGGGCTATTTTACTCTGCATGGTATTTGCCAAGCTTGCTCCTTGGAATTTGTTAACTGTGAACACCAGGGATTGAAACTCAGGCTTTCAGTACTCAGCGTGCATATTCTATTAAGATAGACCTATTAAGAGAGACCTAAGTAGGATATGGGACACGGGTGGCACTGTGGGTTAAACCACAGAGCCTAGGACTAGCTGATCAGAAGGTCGGTGGTTTGAATCCCTGAGACGGGGTGAGCTCCCATGGCTTGGTCCCTGCTCCTGCCAACCTAGCAGTTCGAAAGCACGTCAAAGTGCAAGTAGATAAACAGGTACCGCTCCGGTGGGAAGGTAAACGGTGTTTCCATGCACTGCTCTGGTTTGCTAGAAGCGGCTTAGTCATGCTGGCCTCATGACCCGGAAGCTGTACGCCGGCTCCCTTGGCAATAAAGCAAGATGAGTGCTGCAACCCCAGAGTCGGCCACGACTGGACCTAATGGTCAGGGGTCCCTTTACCTTTACCTTAAGTAGGATATAGTTCTCTCAAGTGGATTACTGAAATGCTAACCTTTACAAGTGGGGCCCTGCTGCAGTGTGCCATGCTTCTGTTCAGGGTACAAGTGACTCTAAGCCACACCTACCCACCCCGCCAGCCAGCCAGTATTCTGTGCCCATTGAGCTTCTTCAGTCCCCGCTGGGTTGTTTCTCATTTTCTTCTCCATTTTGTGTTTTATCAGAGAAGCCTGGACAAATTGTACCCAGTCCCAGCTGCATTAAAACCTTTTATTTATTTACTACACCTGCCAATAATAACATAGCATGAGTACAAGAAGACTCAAATCAGTATGATGATGATGATGATGGTGATTCTAATCTTTCCTTATTATAAATGCAAAGTTTTAAAATCTGCTTAAAGGTGGCCAAAACATTCTCTGCTGAAACTAATACAGTGGTACCTCGGGTTAAGTACTTAATTCGTTCCGGAGGTCCGTTCTTAACCTTAAACTGTTCTTAACCTGAAGCACCACTTTAGCTAATGGGGCCTCCTGCTGCCGCCGCGCCACCGGAGCACAATTTCTGTTCTTATCCTGAAGCAAAGTTCTTACCTGAGGTAATATTTCTGGGTTAGCGGAGTCTGTAACCTGAAGCGTATGTAACCTGAGGTACCACTGTAAAGTACAGAGCAGCCTTCCCCAATATGGTGGTCTTCAGATATTTTGGACTGCAACTCCCACCAGCCCTGGTGGGCATAGAGAATGTTAAGGAATCATGGAAGTTGTAGTCCAAAGTATCTGGAAGGCACCATGTTGTGAAACAACGACATAAAACAGTGGGGGTTTTTGGACTAGAACAGGGCACCTGAACGCTATCAAATTATATCCTCTCCCTTTTCCAAAGCAAGATCTAATACAGAAAGTGGAACAAGCCTCTTACCTCCATGTGAGCATAGAGCTTTTCTGTAGTGTCGGCTTGCTTTTCACAGAAAAGGCACACTGCACAAACCGGATGTTCTTCCCAGCCGGACCAGTCTCTGCAAAAAAAGCAGTGCAAAAAGCCAGTTGAAGTTGGTGATTTGCAAAGGTTTCTGAAAGATATGGAGATGCTACAAACATGGGGACCAATTCTGATTTAACTTCTCCAACATGAAAGTAAACGGGAATCAACTTCGCAGACGGTCATGCAGTTTTGTCAATGCAAAGTACAGTGGTACCTCGGGTTACATACGCTTCAGGTTACATATGCTTCAGGTTACAGACTCCGCCAACCCAGAAATAGTACCTCGGGTTAAGAACTTTGCTTCAGGATGAGAACAGAGATTGTGCTCTGGCAGTGCAGCGGCAGCAGGAGGCCCCATTAGCTAAAGTGGTGCTTCAGGTTAAGAACAGTTTCAGCATTCTTTCTCCTGGTTATGCAGACATGACTATCGCTTATAATTTGATAAGGCAAATCAATGTTTACAGTGGTACCTCAGGTTAAGTACTTAATTCGTTCCGGAAGTCAGTTCTTAACCTGAAACTGTTCTTAACCTGAAGCACCACTCTAGCTAATGGGGCGTCCCGCTGCCGCCGTGCCCCACAGCACAATTTCTGTTCTCATCCTGAAGCAAAGTTCTTAACCTAAGGTAATATTTCTGGGTTAGCGGAGTCTGTAACCTGAAGCGTATGTAACCTGAAGCATATGTAACCCGAGGTACCACTGTACTGCAGAAGGGTATGGGTGTGTTTACTTGTAAGGTTACAAATGGAAGGTAAAGCAATACTTCATTTCCACAGAGGGTGGTTTGCTTCCAGTGTGCAGTTGGACAATGCCATCTCTATAGTAATCAAAACCATTAGCTAGTGGCCATGCTCCGAAATAACAGCTAGAAAAGGAATTGTATTTTATTCCCACCGGCTCAGTTTCACCTCCTCTTAACCCCCATTTCCTCTCCATCCCCTAATCCTAAATTTCTGAGAACTTTAAATGAAGGAATAAAAAACGGCTGCAAAATTTTGTAGTGCACTGGGGCCTAGCTTTTCTGTGCTATCTCCCCTAGGGCACTTGCCCCTTTGCTTTGTTTTCTGACTCTCATGGGGGTTATGAGAGAATTGGGGAAATATGGTGGGCTCTGCTTCTTTAGAAGGGCAGTCCATACAGTTTATTGCTATGCCCTAACTGGAAAGGACATACATTAAAATGCAAAATTATTATAAGTGGGGTGGGAATACATAGCATGTTGAACTGTATCTTCTATGGCTCCTCGTGGTTGCTATAAAACACTAAATAACACTGGAAATCCTATTAAATCCTATTCATCAACATTCTCGGCCATACCTACTTTGTCCCTGAATGCCACTTTTTTTACAACATAATGTTGCCAAGCCCGCAGAACAGATTTCCCACCACTCTAAACTTTAAATACAACTCTTACTCTTCCTGGTTGTCCAACAATTCTCTGTCATCTTCGGACTGAACCTCTTCCCAGGTCTTGCCAAATTCCTGGAGGGGAAAGAAAAATGCACAGAGCAAACATGAATCCATTATACTTCAGCAACAGTCAATGCTCCAAGTCTTAGTCTTAGACAGTGGATGTAAATAATTCAAAATGAGGCCACTCAAGGTCATTTACAGCTAAAATAAAAATAGCTTAAAACACAGAAAAGAAAGCAATAATTAAAAAAACAAACATTAATAGAACTAATATGTATATATGTATGTATGTATATGTATATGAGACCTGTTAAAATATACAGATCATCACACCACTCCCATCCTTAAAAATAGCCAGTTCCCAAAACCAGTCGGAATAAGTTTTCACCAACATGTCTTACATTTTCACATTTTCAGTAAAGCATTTGCCTCCTTGTAATAGCTTGTTAGAGTTAAGATACTGTTGTTTTACTGTGGGAAAATGCACTGTATGTATGTATGTATGTATGTATTTTTATTCTTAGCCTGCCACAAAAGTCTAAACTGGCTGGTTTGGTAGTACAAATTATGTTTATTTTGTTTTTAAAATTGTTATATTTTGTGTAATTTTGCACACTACCTTGAAAGGTCAACTGTCCCCCAAGGGGTAGTGTATATATCAGGTAATAAATAAATACAATAAATATTTAACTAAATATATCTATATATCATGAAGATTTCTAGGGCCAAATTGACAGAATTAGGTCTGTGCCACCTTTAACATTGTTTGAGCACATAGCCTGACACGAAATCTAATACTGGGCTGGATTATGTTAAAATTCTGACTCTTTGTCAAGATGTGACCCTGGTAAGTTGGAGTGCCACAGATACGACCCACTTTTATTTTATATCCTTTTCTGGCAATGCATGTTTTTTTTCTGGGGGTGGGGAAGACAGAAGGGCCATTATGTTTGAAGGAGCTACAACGCTGAGGAGTAAGGGGAAATGTTTAAAATAATAGTAAAACACTATCTAGCTACTCTAATGCTAAGTGTATTATTAGCTAGTGCTTAGATCAGGAGTAGCCAGGTGGCATTTTACTTTAAAGGGTTTTCGCCTTATTCACACAACATTGTAGGTCCTTCAGACACAGTGTTCGTTATTACCACTTCTAGGTATGTTGGCATGTCCTACCCTTGTTCCTTATTAAATAATAAAACAGAAAAGTCATGGAGACAAGAGATTAAAATGGATTCTTACAAATCTACAACGACCCCATTGCAATATTTTATAGCAAATGAAAACACATACACACAAACACAAAAAGACCAGTCCCATAGCTCCATCAAAGCTGCTACAGCGTGTCAGGTAAACGGCGCACAGACATACATTTGTTAGAACAGCCTGTAACAAGATGTCAGTACAGATTAGGGAATTTGGATCCTGTAATTAATTCAGAGATGCTACTCTCGAGGGTAAACTCTCCAAGTGCGGCAGCCAGATTCATTAATGTTACCAGGATAATGAGATAACTACCGGTACCTCACATTAACACCTCTCTCACCACACCCACCCACCACAGTACCACGCGGCCTCCCATGAAAGTAGTCATATCGAGCAGCTAGCTTTTTAATGAAAAGCTAATAAATAGGGGTGGGAAGGGGGTGGTAGAGGAAGAGTTCTTTTCCCTAACCACTTACAATATAATGGTATCAAGTGGGGACGCGGGTGGCGCTGTGGTCTAAACCACTAAGCTCTTGGGCTTGCCAATCAGAAGGTCGGAGGTTCAAATCCCTGCAACGGGGTAACTTCTGTTGCTCTGTCCCAGCTCTTGCCAACCTAGCAGTTCGAAAGCACACCAGTGCAAGTAGATGAATAAGTACCACTGTGGCGGGAAGGTAAACTGCATTTCCGTGTGCTGCTCTGGTTCACCAGAAGCAGCTTAGTCATGCTGGCCACATGACCCGGAAAGCTGTCTGTGGACAAACGCCGGCCTGAAAGCAAGATGAACGCCGCAACCCCATAGTTGCCTTTGACTGGACTTAACCGTCCAGGGGTCCTTTACCTTTTTTACTTTTTTACCTAATGGTATCAAGTGACCCCAAGTTTAGAATAAACAAAAGCTTTAGATTTTTTAGGCTACATCAGGTTTTAAGTAAGTTCCAGCTATACCGAAAGCAACGGGGAATTTTACCTCTTTCAACAAGTTCATTGCAGGAGAATTACAGAAGCAAACTGCCCAATGGCTTGGGCTTGCTCTCCACTACTGTAATTAAAAGTCTTTACAGTGGTACCTCGGGTTACATACGCTTCAGGTTACATACGCTTCAGGTTACATACGCTTCAGGTTACAGACTCCGCTAACCCAGAAATAGTACCTTGGGTTAAGAACTTTGCTTCAGGATGAGAACAGAAATCATGCTCCAGCGGCGTGGCAGCAGCAGGAGGCCCCATTAGCTGAAGTGGTGCTTCAGGTTAAGAACAGTTTCAGGTTAAGAATGGACCTCCGGAACGAATTAAGTTCTTAACCTGAGGTACCACTGTATTAACAGGACCATTTCATTATCTGCATAGACACACAGGCACTCATGTAGTACGGCAGAAGCGTGAGCCCAAGGGCCAGGCAATCCCCTCCTTCCCCCATGCTCATTTACCTCTTCTTATTCCATGTGGTTGGTGGGGTTACACAAGCCTCAGACTTACTTCTGTGTCCTGGCATATTGCAAACACACCTAAACTTTGTGAATAGCCCCTCAGACAGGCTTAAAGCAAGCCAGGCCAGTTAAACTTGTAAATTTGTAAATTGCCCTGTGGTCTTCCAATGAATGGCAAAATATAAATTTAATGAACAACAACAACAATAAACTGTGACACAGAAAACTACTTTAGAGTAACTAGCACACAGGATCTCCTAGCCATAAGGCACAAATAATCCCATTAAGTGAAATTCTAGTACACAGGCAATACTAGAAAAATTATTACTGCTATTACAGTAACTCTTGAGTTTTATACAATATTTACTGCCCAATAAAAACACTCTTATAAGGCAATAGCATTACATTTCTGTCTTCTTAGAAAAATCAAACATGGTTTTGAAGAGCTGGTTCATGACCTCCAAATGCTTCAGGGTGTGCAATAATGAACGAGAGAGGCTACACATCTGTCATTTCAATTATGTCAGTCCACATTCAGTTAAAGAGAAAGGGAAAGCTTTAATAGTGGCTGGGAAACTAATTCAGCCTTAGTGAAATGCCAGTGAGATATCAGAATGTTAGCACTGCAGTATAACACCTCCAATGCCTTGGGACCAAAGAACTTAAAAAGCATTCCTCAGTATCCACCATCCTGGGCCCTATGATCAGTAGGGGAGGCCTTGTTGGTGTTGACCTGTCTCCCCCTCATTATTAACATTTGGGGGTGGATTTAAAAACATGCCCATTCACCTTGGCGGAAAGAGGCATTTCCGTTTCTTGGCCACAATGAAATGCTCATTTTGTCACTTCGTCTTGCAGAACATGGCCAAAGAACAAGCAAGAGCAACAGTTACCTCATCCACTCCACATTTTACCAGATTCTCCGAAAGAATATCATGAAAGACTTGGTCAAAAACCTTACAGAAATCAAGATATACTATGTGGCAGCATTTCCCTGATCTACCAAGCTTTTAACTCTACGAGAGAGAGAGAGAGAGAGAGAGAGAGAGAGAGAGAGATTTGTCTGGTATGACTTGTTTTTGAGAAACCCATGCTGGGGTTTAGTAATCATAGCACCCTTTTTCAAGTGTTCACAGGCTGACTGTTTAATTATCTGTTCTAGAACCTTTCCTGGTATCGTTGTCAAGCTCCCCAGCTGGCAAAGCACTTGCATCCCATTGATTTAAAACTGGTGAGACTTAAACCTGCTTCAGTTTGATGGCATCATGCATACAATTTGCAAATCAGGCTGCAATTTCAGACATTCTTACTAGGCAGGAAGTCCCAGTGAACTAAAAAAATGAGTTGACATATAGAGGATCGCACTGTCAGTCAAATATACAGTGGATGCTCAGGTTGCGAACGTGATCCGTGTGGGAGGCACGTTCGCAACCTGCAGCGCTGTGTCTGCACACGTGCAGGTCGTGATTCGGTGCTTCTGCGCATGCGCAAAGCGCAATTTAGTGCTTTGCGCATGAGCCGAAACCCAGAAGTAACCCATTCTGGTACTTCCGGGTTGGTTGCGGTGCAGTACGCAACCCAAAAATGTGCAACCTGAAGTGTCTGTAACCCGAGGTATGACTGTACATCAACTTACCAGATAATTAATGATATAAAATCTGTCGTATTCTCTGTTTTTGGCATTGATTCTGCGATGCTGCTTCTTTCTCATGTGATCCTTGAGCGTGTTCTTATCTCGAAAGGTTTTTTCACAGTACAAACACTGCAAGCTAAGATTAAAAGTAAATAAATAAAATTACAAACTGGTGCTAGGGACATTACTGTAAGGAACCAGCCACTTACTTCAAGTGACTATGATGACAGCAGCTTACTTTGAGAAAGCACGGTTAGATAAATTTATAGAGAGCAAGATACCCACCCCCCTGCCGATTCAGGCAGTTCTGAGGTTTTCAGGAGCATATGTTGAATTAGAAGGCTTAAGGCATGTGTTAACGCTCTTTTTCAGCAGCTGTTTCGATGCAAACTGCTTCATAATCTTGGAGCACCCTGCAAGAGCTGGCATAGCTCAGTTGGCAGAGCATGAGACTCAATCTCAGGGTCGAGGGTTCGAGCCCCACCTTGGACAAAAAAATAGCTTCTTTGCAGAGGGTTGGATTAGAAGACTCTTCTAACAACAATTCTGTGATTCTATGATTACTTGAAGGCTCAATGGGAGTGCACTTTCAAAAGACAAACATCAGTTGGTTGGTTGATGGACAGGTAGGTGACCCCACCCATTTTAAAAATTTGTCCCTGGAAGGGGAGAGCAGATATAGAATTGGCTCACCAAAGAAAAAACACATTAATCCCTTGTGTTAAAGGAACCACCACTGCCAACTGATGTAGTGTAAATATGTAAAATTAAATCATTTTTTGGGAATTATTGGTGGTTTGGCTTTGTAGAATTTATATGACTGCTGATTTATTGGTACTACTGAGCTTATTTTTTTTACATGTTTACAATAACTTTTATAAATTTTCTGTATTGTATCCTTGTACAGTATTTGACACTGGAATAAACAAGTTATGCAGCCATGGAAGCAAAGAATATAAAAACACACACACCTAAATTTATGCAATAACAAAAATTTAAAAAATACAAAATACAAAAAAAATCAAAGCATAAACCACTGCAAGCACAACAGACTGAGATTTAGCTGTTGGCATCATTGGTACTGGATTAAAATGCCCTTCAACACAGAAAAATGGATTGACTTAATACGGCAAGTATATTATTTTAAAGATTGCTTATTGCAAGATTGTTACAGTGTGGAAGAACCTTAGTAAGTCATGCTTCAGATAGCTTTGGGCAGAGTGACTCTGCTTGGCATTCATATAATGCTGATTTATCAGATTCCCATATATCTCATTCTGCTGCCTGAGCAAAAATCACAAGGACCCTTTGCGCGGATGCGTGATTCACAGATCAATGTAACTGAACTGATTTGAAGAACATTTTAACATGTTAGCATATTGCATTGGTAAGTAAAAATACTGCCCTCTCTCCAACCATCACACACACACACACAAACAAACACACATATTTCCTGCCTTCAGGAATTGGTCAGGGATTGCATTTAGAGACCATCTCCAACTTTTACTGCTAATTCATCCATAGAACTATGAAACAATATTACTTATTCAATTCCCAGGCTCCCTTTTATAAGCTCTTAAAAATCCATTTTCTACCAACTGAGTTGCTTCGGAATACTCAAGGACCTATGCATCAAGCTCTTTTTTTTCATAAACACAATTCGGAGATAATCGAACTGCTCCTTACTACTGATTTAATTCCAAACTTTTTAAAAAAATAAATAAATGCAAGAAGCATCCTCTCCACCTCCTTTCCAGTAGTGACTGTGGATGTACAATGGGTTGTTTTTATTTCGTGGATTTTCTGTGGTGAGGGGAAATTCAGATTAATGTTAAGGAAAGTATGGTTTGGGATAAGCATTTTGATGAAGACCAAACCATGTTTGTAAAAAAGTGCAGTGGTTCCACAATGAACACACATCTGGAAGCATCCCCAATTTTTGTACAGTGGTACCCCAGGTTACATACGCTTCAGGTTACAGACTCCGCTAACCCAGAAATAGTGCCTTGGGTTAAGAACTTTGCTTCAGGATGAGAACAGAAATCGTGCTCCGGCGGCCCGGCGGAAGCAGGAGGCCCCATTAGCTAAAGTGGTGCTTCAGGTTAAGAACAGTTTCAGGTTAAGAACGGACCTCCGGAACGAATTAAGTACTTAACCCGAGGTACCACTGTATAAGTGACACTACTGCTCTTTCCAATCCTGATATACAAAAGCTATGTATATCAGGGACCTGGGTTCAAAGAGGAATGGTTTAGGTGAAGATAATGATTTGAAGAACCCCCAAAACAATATACAGAGTCTCTCGTGTACACTAACTTATTTGTTACAATGATCATATCCAGTCTTTCCGTAAACTCGGCTACTTAGCGCACCTGTCTAGTTTCTTCTGTAGAAGTTCCAAAAACTCCTCACAGTGTACAATGTTATCTGGCAGCCCAACATTGAATGCATGATCTTTTGCCATGTGATTGAGAAGGTCTGATCTACAAAGGAAGAATTCAAGCAGAGCGTTAGTTCCTTTAACATACTTTCACGGCAGCTTCAAAACATGGCTCTTTGGGTTGGTGGGTTGTGGGGGGAAGAAAGAGGCTGGTGCTATGGTTTAAGGAGCATCACTAAAAATAAATGTCCTTTCTCCCCTTTGTAAGTGTGCCTCTTTTCCCTGCAGAGGCCAACACGGAGAGAGGAAGAAAGCCCAAAGAGTCTTTCTGAAGCGGCTCTCTGTACTCGGAACACTTAAAATAGTATAAAACCGCAACTAAGTAACTGCACTGTTTCTTTTTTTTGCGGCTAGACAAATTATTTCCACTTAACTGAAGAAAATGTGGATTTCACCCCTATAAAACCAACACTGAATAAGTTACAGCGCTGTGCGCAGCTTTCCCAGCAGCGAAAGCAGTTGTGTGTAACTAAATGGGAAAATTTACATCTCAGATTTATCGCCACCTCACTGCAGCATTTCACAACCTGACCTGCCAGCTTGAAACCAAAAAGAATTGCTAATTTTAACCAATACTCTAATTACTCACCGGGGGAACCATTTGAGTAGATTTCAGTAGAAATGGGAGAATATATTAACGCTTTGCAGAGGTTGCCAAACTTTTTGTGCCCAGGGGCACCTATGCAAACTGGATAAACTGAACATGGCTCCCCTCCCAACCTATTCTATTGGCTACAACAAAACGATCCTTTCAGGCCTAATACCAGGGTTGGGGAAGGGATCCTGCAGACACCCAAGAAGGCTTCTATGGGCATGTGCCAGTCAGTCCATCTTGGTGCCTTCTGAGTGGTAGCAACACAAGACAAACCCACACACCTTTTTTTAAAAAAGGAAAGGACCTTGGCATGCAAAACAAGTACATAAATCAAATTCATTGTTTAGAACCAGGTACGTGATGAGAAAGAGCCAATGCAAAGCTAGAAGAGGAGAATATTCCCACCACTAAAATGTGTGATGGGCTTGGTTTGCACACGGTTAACTATGTTTTAAAGATGAATGTGCAGCATGCTGGTGCCCAGGGCTAAAACCATGGGCAAAAAATCTTGGTTATGGATTGTGATTTATTTTGAGAGACAAGCCACAAACCCAGGTTCAGACATAATACCAAGTCAAACCATGGCAATGTGTCCAAGATTTTAGCCCAGTATACTGCACAACACCTTGACAGTATAGTTAAGCCTAACTGTGGTTTAAAGTGATGTGCAAAGCAGGCCGCTGAAATCCACTAATTCACAGATCCACTAATTCATACACAACAATTCTGGTCCAACAACCATGGTATGTCAGACCAAAGGTGAGCCGTGTGCCCATGTCAACTAATGGCATAGTCAACTAGAATGCCAGTCAACTAATGACTTTGATTCAGGACGGGCAAAACAATTCTTTACGCTTCTTCTTTTATGGATTTCATTGCACATGATGCGATGATGGCCAATGGCATGCAAGACTTCGAAAGGAGATGAAGTCATGGACGACAGATCTATCAATAGCCATTAGTCATGATGGCTAAATCCTTGTTCCAAAGCATTGTGCCTCCCCCAAGTTGCTCATGGACTCCAAAACCCATCAGCCCCAGTCAGCATGGCCAATCATCAGGGATGAGAGTGGCTGTGACCTTCCAGATGTAGCTGGACTACAAAATCTCCATCACTGCCTTAGGTAGTTGATGGGCAGGTGTGAAATGGGATGTTGGACTGTATGGACCCTTTGGTCTTTCCACCAGCACTTTTCTTACACTGGGCTAACATTTTGCCAGTTATAAAATGCTGCTACAGCCACATCAGTACCAAAGCCTTATAGTGACATTTCCATTTCCCCCATTTGCATAGGATTGGGATGTTCACGAGGATGAAAAAGCGTAGTCAAACATTCATCACTAACCTGTTACCAGTAAACTCTTTATCACAGAACATGCATGCACCGTGAAAGTCTGTGTCATTTCTCTCTCGCTGCTGTTGCTCCAGATTCTCTCTCTGTTGAACAGGAAGAAATACAACACATGCAATCACATTCGTTTTTGAAAATAGCTTCATTGTAAATTATTCCTAGCAGTTTTCCATTGTCTCTCATTATCAGCTAATGAGCAACACAGGCACTTGATTCATTTGAAAACATGGTTTTCTTGCCGACGATTAGGTTCAAATGTTCACACAGCATGAAGGAAGAGTAACAGGCAAAACAGGGAGACCTGAAGGCTGGTCTAATCCAGTGCAGTTCAAATGAAAACTGGAGAAAATGTATTTGCACCTTCCAAAATGAGAATTTGGATGACACAAGGATTGATGGACTCAGTCTGTATAACGAAAAGATTTTAGCCTCGATAAATCAATATGATCATCAATGGCTCCTTGATGTATAGGTGCACCCGTGTGAATAAAAAGAGCAAAATTTTATTTTTTACCTTAAATAATATAGGTTTAAGCCTTAAACCAAAGCAAAACATTTTATCTTATATTCCTAACAGGTCTCCCAGAACACTTAAAAAAACCATCTTTGTATCTATTTCTAGGAATTTTCTCCTCCAATTTAAATAAAAGGTGCATTTTACTGCTGAGTGTTCATAGTATGAAGCTGCATATTGCTTCAGGCAAGAGAACTGAGTTAAGAGAGTCTAGGTGTATCTTTTCCACGAGAGAGATTGAAGCAAGAAATCATTTATATTTTACACAAGTAACGGAAGACCTAGAGTGAGGAAACTGGAACTTGAAGATACTTAGGTTTCTCCTCACCGCACAGGAGATATAAAGAGCTCAAGATTTAAAATGTTGTAGAACTAAAAACCCTCGACACATTCTATATCACCGGGGAAAAACAGTTGTTTGGTGCCCCAGGGCTATGAAACTAAACAAGTCATCTTTTTTAAAAAAAGATCCCTATTTCTTCACCCTCACACCCCGTAAGCACCTCAGCAGAGGAACAGGCAGCTTAATAATAATAATAATAATAATAATAATAGACCAATGACTAAAGAAATCATAAGCCGTAATCAGCAACACCTAAAGGGCACTGCATTGGCTAGCCCTCTATGGTAAGCTTGAGTTGTTCTGGCAATCGGTTTATTTTTGAGGAAATTAGACAACCTGCTAGAACTACTTTGCAGGTTGAGCTTACCTGTGCATGCCTGCTTCTCGGGAGCTGCAAAAAGTGGTGGACTCGGTATGTGTGAAAGAACACACACCTCCCATGCAGCTTTCACATCTCCAAAACAACTTAATGAGAAGAAAGTTTCACCGCGGAGGTGCCATTTTAGGGCTTGCTTTATGCAAGATCCATTATGAAAGGCCTGCTTTTGAACTGACACTGAACAGTGCCTCCCCTTCAGCTGTTGAGTCATTAAGCGATAAGATGGCAAGAGCCCTAGAAACTCAGAGATATATGCATGTGTGAATCAGTTCAAAGAGAGCAAAAAGAGCAGAAGGACCTTTATCGAGCTGCTGCCCCCCTTTCAAGAGGTTCCTATTTATTTTGCTTCTTCTGATGTTGGATAGCTCTGCAAATAAGAAGCCACGGCTGATAAACACATTCAGCTGCCTCTGGGAATGCTCAGCTGGTGGATTTCTACAATTCCTTTGTTGAAGGAAGACTAGAGATTTATTGATAACAGGGTCACTAAGTAGGAATGGGCAGTGCTGCAGAGAGATCAGAATCCCAGGTGAAGAATCTTTACTCTTGTGGACAAACATATGACATATACTTTGTATTCAAAACTGCATCCTTGGATTCTTCTGAGTCAATTTTCAGCACACCTTTAAACATACCCTCCAAATTTTCTCCGATAAAAATAGGGATGTCCCATTCCATAATTAATTAATTAATTAATTATTATTATACCCTGTCCATCTGACTGAGTTGCCCCAGGCACTCTGGGCAGCTTCCAACATACATAAAAACATAATAAAACATTAAACATTTTAAAAACTTCCCTATACAGGGCTGTCTACAGATGGCTCCGGGGTCGCATAACTCCATACCCTCCAACATTTATCCAATGAAAATAGTGACGTCCTAAAAAAAGTGGGACATTCTGGGATCAAATCAGAAACTGGGATGGCTTCTCTAAATCAGGGACTGTCCCTGGAAAATAGGGACACTTGAAGGATCCGCTTTAAAGAAGTAAGTCCTACTGAGCTTTCTGGAACTGTTAAGTTAACTGTTGAGGATCAACTTCATTATTACTGAAAGAGGAAACCTGGTAATTAAATTAAATCCTCATTTTTTGTGCAGTTCATTTCCTGCTTCGGGATGGTCACATGCAACACCACCTTACCAGCCTTTGTTGCTGAAGTTTCTCCCTCAGTGTTCTGTCTTCAGGCAAAGCATCACATAAAAGGAAGTAATTGTCTTGTTCCTCTGTTAAAAGATTACAGATCAAATGTCAGGAGAACACTTTGGTCGATACATTAAGCTTTTTAATGTAATACAGGTTTGAGTTATATTAAGCCACTGAGAGAGGGAGAAAGATGCAAGTGGTAATTCTATCCATTTAAGACAAATGTTTTTTCTAAAGGGTCTGTTCAGAAATTTCCTAGTCATGTTGGCTGTTGTGCTTCAGCCAGAAGCAAATCCATGAATACAGAGAAGCCCACCAGGGTATGCCGGTAGATTTTACTGGAACAAGGAAAATCAGCCCCAGGTCTCGTGTTTGGCTGCGTTCAAATGTCACAATAAACCATGGTGTAATAAACACCCCTCCCAATTACTACTCCATGAAGAAATCTGAAGGTTTCCATTTCATTTTTATTAGCCACAGTTTATAACTACTTTCAATCCTTACCTGTGATAAAGATTAGCTATAGTTTGTTGAAACAAGCCAGCTTCAGAACCCATGGTTTACTGTAACATCCAAATGCAGTCTCTGCATATTTCATACATTAAGGGATTAACTGTACACCAATGCTTCACACTGCCTGGTATGGAAAGAATTCTCCAAAAGAAAAAGAAAAAAAATCTGCATTCTGACTTTGTACTCAGAACAGGCTGAACTGGTCTTCTCACCCCAATCTTCCAGGCAGACAGGTAAAGGAACCAGCATCAGTTTAAAATGCCTGAAGCCCTTGTTATGCCTCTTTTTCTTTAGACTCTCCATTTCCTAAAGCTGAACGGCATTCTACAACTGCCAAGATTTCTCTCTCCTTTTTTTTTTAAATGAATACCTGATGCTAGACCAGAAGCAAGGTGCCGAACTGATTGTGTCTCATAGCAGCTATTTAGAGGTTTATAATTTTATTTGACAGTCAAAGCTACTATAGCCACCCTTATAAACCTCTAAACAGTGAAGTGGAGCACTTCAGAAATATTATAACTAGTATGGGAATATCTATAATATTAAGGCAGAGGGCTCCTTCCCTAACATTCGATCATAATCATCCTTTGTTTGGCCCCAAGTATAGGTGATGATGATGTATGCAAGATGTACAAAAATCAACACAGGCATTGCCCACAAGCTTATAGTCCAAGATATAATGCTAGACACTCACTCTTTGTATTTTAAAGTGAATCAAATAATCTGCTGAACTCAAGCCCACAAACAAGAGTGCTTCAGCATCTGATACAGTAAAAAGTGTCCCAACAAAATTGGTGGTCTAATGGCAGATTGTGGGGAATTCTGCAAACCAGGCCTGTGCAGGCTACATTAACAACACACTCACCTAAAGCTGCTTCAGAATTTGTTCTTATCACACAACAGAAGTCTGTAATGGGCTGCTCTGAGAATCTTTTCTTCCAGTACAATGCATATCTTAAAAAAAAAAGGGGGGGAGCAAAAATGCAGGCAGCTATGTTACAAAACATTTCCCAAACTGTTGTTCGTTTCATTACACTCTTAGTATGCAATTCTTGTTGCAGCATTTGGATACTCGAGCCACTCATTGCTACCAGTCTTTTGTAGAGGTCATTTTTCAAATAAGGCGACGTTTCTATTTAGCCAGAACAATCTTCCCAGTACAGATAAGTTGGAAATTGGAAATCCATTACCAGGTAATTTCAAATGTTCAGCTTGTATGAAGAAACCAGACACAATGACTAGTGTTTGATTTTTTAAAAACGAAAAACATGGCAAGCTTACGGTGCTGAATAATCTAACCTTTTATACGGATTTTATTTGCCCTAGATTCTTTTCGTCTTACTACTTGGCTTTAAAACTTGATACTTACTAAAACATAAATGGGTGCTTTGTGCGTGCTTGGTCACAAGTCTCTAGAAAAATGTATACTGCATGAATACCGAGACCTGCTTAGTAGTTTAATTATCCAACTTGACAGTAAAATATATTATTCCATCCAAGCAAATATCAAGAAGCTCAGTTAGAGCCAGCTCTGTGCCCTAGTACCATATGGCATTCCCATGAAAGAAGGAAACTTCTGGATCTGAAAATACTAGAGCCATAATTTGGCAAGAAAAACAAACTGTCCTCATGGGATGGGATGAAATGCAACATAGGCACAGAAAGCTGACAGAGAACTTGAACACTGCAGTGCCAATAGTCCTACATATTGACTATGTATACTTTTAAAGAAGCAAATAGCTGCTTCTTAGTATCACATTTCCTGGTTTCTGGCATTGGCTTTCAAGTCTCTGTTACACCCTAACAAAAGTTACTGCTTTCAGCTGTTTTCCTTTCTCATCAATCAAGCATCTTAATGAACCAAAAGTGTGTGCCTTCAGTTCAATCGTGGGCACAGATGTGGAGGGAAGGGTCTAGCGGAGTGGAAAGTAGGGACCGGATCTCAAACAGTTGCTGGCTTCAATTATTTCCAGGTGCAATACAGACACTAATGTTTGCAAGCATAAAAATGTCCATGGAAATAGTTCACTTTACATGATGTAAAGTTGTGAGCATTGATCTGCACGTCTGAGGTTCTCTCAGGAGCCAGAAATTGAACAAGAGCTGTCTGGTTCTGCTGGGTAATCACTAAAGACAAAAGTGGCATGGAGATTTCCCTCTGAGCTGATGCTGTGTTGCTGAGAATCCATCTGAGAAGCTTCACAAATCCCTTTGCCTCTGATAACTGGTGATGCAGTGAGGCTGTGCTGGTCCTCAAACACCACCGAGGCATTTGGGATTGCAGCTGTGTACTTGCAGAGGTGGTGGGATGCTAGCCAGATCCCGGCTTGTTCAGCAAACCATGGCTATAACAAACCATGGCTTAGTGTTGCATCCAAACTACCAATTTCATCTGTGGAGAAGCTTTTGCAGCTCTGGACTGGATCCTGGATTCTCCACCCATGGGGAACCATTTTGACAGGTGGGATGCATTTTTTCCTCTGTGGTTTGTAGTGTGGTTTGAATTCATGTCACACTGCAAATGAAGGTCCTAGCACTGCTTGAAGTCCATGCAGACCAGTGCCAACTTTAAACCCTATGTTCATCCAATGGAAACTTTGTAGTGCAGCCAAACCCAGCAGGCTTGAAGTCGCCACTGACAAGCGATGACAGCAAGCCTCACTTGAAAGTCTTCAAGGCCATTCCTGCTTTGCTGACTGGCTGCTGCACCTCTACCCAATGTTGTACGTAAGTGGTCTTGGGGGAATTTGGGATCTGTGCCAGACCTAGTTAGAACCCCAGAGCCCAGAGGCTCCCTAACCTATATGCCTGTTCATGACACCCAGATATACCTCTCCACTTCAGAGTTCTCTCCTTCCATCCAATCCTGCATGTCTCTACCTGCTTGTCTGATACTGTTCTCATCACCATCTCAGACTCAACATGTCCAAGATGAAGCGGCTTCTCTCCCCACCCCAGCCTTCCCTTTTGATCCTCCCCAGATCCGCCAACAGCATCACTACTCAGACTGACTCTGCTATATCATCAATTCTTCTCTCATTTGTTTGCCACATTCAATCAGTTGCCTTATATACCGTATTTTTTGCTCCATAAGACACACTTTTTCCCTCCTAAAAAGTAAGGGGAAATGTGTATGCGTCTTATGAAACGAATGCAGGGGGGAGCCAGGCAGGAAAAGCCCTCAAGAGCTGCACACAAGCTCCACGCGGCTCTTGCGGGCTTTTCCCCAGGAGGGAGAAGGGACTGACGCGGCCAGTCCCTTCTCCCTCCTCATAGAAAAGCCCACAGGAGCCACGCGCTCCTTAAAGGGTGCACGGCTCCTGTGTGCTTTTGCAGGAAGTGGGAGAATTTAGCCACGCGCAACCTCTCCGGCTGGGAGAGGCTTCACGCGGCTATGGCAGAAGCCAAAACAGTGAGCGGGATGGATCCCGCTCGCTGTCTTGGCTTCTTTAGCCTTGCGCAGCCTCTCCCAGCTGGAGAGGTTGCACGCGGCTATGGCAGAAGCCAAAACAGTGAGCGGGATGGATCCCGCTCGCTGTCTTGGCTTCTTTGCTCTTTGGGGCTGGGGGGGGGGGGACCCGGGCTTCCACCAGCAGCCCCGAGAAGCTCTGGGAGAAGCGGATAATTTTTTTCTTCTTGATTTCCCCCTCTAAAAACCAGGTGCGCCTTATGGTCCGGTGTGCCTTATGGAGCGAAAAATACGGTATACAGTACTGAAATGTAAGGAACCAGGCCATGGCAACTCACCTGGATGTTGATATGTGGACAGCATTTATTTATAGATCACCTTTCCCGAGTGACCATTCTTTAGTCTCTTGGAAAAATAAAACCATTGAGTCTGACCTGGGGACAGATGATCACTCGGTTCCACTCACAAGTAACCTATGCAACTCTGAATTTATGCATTTCAGTCTTCTTTGAACCATTTACAGTGGAAGAATTGATCCCATTCATTTTTGGTGCACATCAGTCGTCTCAAATCTGGCGCATTGACACATGCATGGTAAAAACTGAGTGCAGAAATGGTCTTGATCTTTGCCATCTGAAGCCAGACACACATAGCAGCTTTGCAGATACCAAAACGGAAAGAAGAGAGCAACAAAAAGAACACATGTACAGACTGGAATGCATGCTATGTGAAATTGCTAAGCAACAGCATTTAGTGTTTTGAATAAGGCTTGTCAATTAGAGAAAACATGTGCACCTTGAAAAGCACATATTGATGAGGGGCAGGTATATTGGTTTATTTAAGACAGGCTGTAGATCAGGGATGGGCAACCTGTGGCCCCAGTCAGCACAGCTGTTAGTATAGGAACTTCTAGAACTTTAGTAATTAGAATATGCAATTAGCACTGAGGCCAGTGCATTCCTAGAAGGGCGTGGTCATCACATGTCAACTGCAACATGTAATACTTTTTAAGGGAAGGAAGTTCAGCTGAGTTATCAGGCTCTAGAGTTTACCATGGAAAGACAACGAAAAGGACATTTCAGGAGTGGATTCACCATGCCTTCCTGTCCATTTTATTGCATGGGTTTCCTCTTCCATAAAGAAAGTGATCTACACTTGTATGAATCAGTTCATAGAGACGGATAGACAAGTTTTGACAGGCTTACAAGAAATAGCAACCAATCTGGAGAACTTAATATAAAGGCCTGAGCTCCAAAACAAAAAAAGGAAACAGTTTGGTCAATGCAAAGATCTGCCTCCCTTTAGGTTCTCAACTCTCGTTCCAGCCCCCAAAAGGCTGATGCATTTGTTTTTGTGCTATGATCAGGGCTACTTTTGCAGAATGATTTACTCCCAATTTCTGAAGTTTGGGATTCCTTTGCGCACACACATTCACGTTCCAGCCTTGTTTCTACAGTCCCTGGGTCCAGCTCTCTCAGCCAAGGCTCAGTTTCTTACATTAATGTCTAGCAAAATTGCCTTTTATTTATATACAAAAATGTATCTATCCTGCTGCATCATAAAACATTGATTAAATGATTATTTAATTTTTATACTGCTTAATATATTAAACACGTATCTAAAAGGTGTACAAAAAACAGAAGCAACAACAGACAACTTAAACAAAATATTACAAAAACACACAATTGCATTAATACAAAGTTACTAATATATATAAATCAATATCAGTTCATTTTCCTTCAGACACACATACCCTTTCAGCCTCCCTTTCACTGTTTTTTGGGATCTGTCTGTTTTCTTTTGCCTAATTGGGAACGTTATCCTGTGTTTTGGTTGTCGCAGTATATACCAGTTCTAGTTTCCTGGACATTTTCTGTCCTAGGTTGCTGTATCAAATTTTAAGCAAGAACTACATACCTCCGAAAATCTGCTACTAGCCTGACATCTGCAATGACAAGCTTGTGTTCTATAATCATGTGCTTCAGAAGTTGGTTTTGTTCTGATGCAGGAGAATATTCTTCACAGAATATACAAGGCACAGATGGAGAACCTTCTACAGCAGAAATGCCACCTGGACTTTCTGGCAGAGAAAGTGGCTCCAAAATGTAGTCTTCGTGGTCTAAAGAGAAATAACAATTATAAATTACAAAGATATTATATTAGTCTATCTCAGTGTCAAAAGCAATCTTTTTTTTTTAAGTCAGCAAACAGACTTGTGTGCACTCTATAGAATGGAATGAAAAAGAATGGAAAGATGTTTCTTTATTAAATTTCTATCCTGCCCTTGCTCCGAAATGAGCCAAGGGTGGCAATGAACTTCCTGTATGGCTGGTTTTGCATCAAAGACTTCTTGCATATTACTTTCTTACAGTGTTAGGTGCAGAGCAGGGGAGAGAAACCATGTCTGGCCAGCTTGGAGTTTGTAATAAATGTGACATCAGCCCAGGCTGGTTTGTAGACCACATACAGGTAAAATTCCCAGTTCACTTCAATGGAGGACAAATCCAGACCTACAGGGCATACCTAACTGTGTCCACTCAGAAGTAAGTCCTACTAAATTCCATGGGGCTTACTCCAACATAAATGGGATTAAGCTTGTAGCCTTACTGCAAAGTGCACACAACTACAGTAGTGCCTCGCAAGACGAAATTAATCCGTTCCGTGAGTCTCTTTGTCTTGCGGATTTTTCGTCTTGCGAAGCACGGCTATTAGCGGCTTAGCGGCTATTAGCGGCTATTAACGGCTTAGCGGCTATTAACAGCTTAGCGGCTTTAAGAAAAAGGAAACAAACTCGCAAGAACTCGCAAGACGTTTCGTCTTGCGAAGCAAGCCCATAGGGAAATTCGTCTTGCGGAACGACTCAAAAAACGGAAAACTCTTTCGTCTTGCGCGTTTTTCGTCTTGCGAGGCATTCGTCTTGCGAGGCACCACTGTATCTGAAAAGCCAGTCTTCTGCAACATCCTAGTGGCAAGAATCATTTCACAGGAAAAACTTACGGTCTGCTTACCCAATGATTAAATGCTAAACCTTTGGCTACAAGTCAAATGTAAAATAAGTTCTACATGGACAGTTTCCGCTGCTCCCGTTAGGAACAGCCAGATCAGGTGTTGCATCTCTAATGTCCCCAAAGATTAACGAGCAAATTTCAAGATAGGATTTGGCCACATACAGCAAAAATACTTCCCCGTTTGCAAATGAGAAGCTGCATTCTTGCAAGAGCGCTTGTGCCATGGCTGTCCCTTTTATATTGGTTATTGACACCTCACAGAGCACTACAGAAGGGTCACAGCTTAGTAGCAGAGCTCATGCAACACATTACAAATTCAATCAGTGGCAGAAGTTGACAACCTGTTTGGACTAGAGGGCACATCTCATATTTTGCGACTGGGCAGGAGGCACCAGTCACCAAATGGCTACCATGGAAAGGGCATGGCATAACACAAAATTAGAGCAACAACCATTTCCGACAACCATGGGAAGCCAACTATGTCCCGCTGGCCCTGGCTATGGAGATCACACATGTGTGCATGCACACTGATGCTTCTACTGCCTAATAGCAGGGAGCATTTCAGAAAATATATACAAGGCAGCCACACCGTTTTCATTTCACAGAAATCCCTTAGGTACCTGCACATTTTGCTCGATAACCTTCTTTCTAGGAGAGCTAGAGGCTTGATTTTTTTTTTTCAAATGACAGGTCAGAGTCGGGTGCACCTGCCCAGCAGTCCCACTGGATCAGGGCGACCCCTAATCTATGGCATGTCCAGATAGGGGTGAAAAATAATCTTGCCTAAACTCCCCAAAAGCCACTCTCAGAGAGTGTAGACAATGCTGAGCTATCTGAACCAAAAGTATGAGTTTGTATGAGACAACTCCTTATGTTCCACTTTGCCCTGGGATCCCAAAGCAAAGTGACCAATGGGAGAATGGAGAAAGGGAGGATATGCATCTTGCAGCACAGATAGCGGACCTGAAGCTCTTAGCCCAGTTTCTTGAGGCTCTTGGTCGGAGTTCATGTGGGTTACAAGCAGGAGTAAAAGCAAAATGCAGAAAGAGAGAAAGGAAGGGCAACAAGGGAGGGTCCCTATTTACCTTTCACTCTGGAATGAGGCCTCCAACAAATTATTCCCCCCTGCCACCCTGGAATTCAGCCCTCAAGGGAAAAAGGGTCACACACTCCAGTGTTACAAGGAAATGTGCATACCTGTAGATAAGGATAGAATAGGCTGCTTCTTCCTGACAAAACTTGGAAGGTACACTTCCTGCATACTTGTCTCACTAGCATAACCTATGAACAGCAGTCAGGAAGAAGGAAAGTTACTTGCGGTTCAAGCTGAATTTAATAGAACTTACTCCCAGGTAAGTGGAATTAGGATTAGATGATAATAAAATTGACAAGAGCATTGTTGAAGAACTCTCTTTAGTCTCAACGAGGCAAGAGACACTATACCTGCAATCATCAACGATACTGGAATTTATAGACTTAGTGTCTGCATGATAACATTTGTGGCACAAGTCTTTAAGAGCAGGGCATATAGATACGGACACTGATGGGTCTGTCAGCTCATTGTGTAGAAATACAACTGTACCCAAACAAAATAAGAACATCTGCTGGAACGTTAAGTGTCTTTCTAATTAAATTCAGCAGTTGAATGAATCAATTCATTAGCAACAAGCCTGGTTTATTATCTCATTAATACAGCTGGCTAATATGAGGAGATTAGTTCAAAAACTTGACAACAATCCCAAAACAAGAAGGGATGCAGCAACAACAAAAACATGCAGCCAAGAAAACAAGGTAGAACAATGAGACGGGGTTTTCAAACAAAATAAAAATCCTAAAATAATAATTAAAAAGAAAATAGAACAGTATGCCTGCTACATAAAGATTTAACTAGAGAGGAGTTACATAATATTTATCCTGTGATCTCTGCTGCTTAGAATACTATGCACTAGAAATAAAATTGCATGCGATGCAGCCACAAGCCTTAAACAAGATATGCAATATTAGCAATTCAGTCTAGGGACTGGTGATATCTATCATTATATTCTGAGATATCACCATAAGAAGTTGCAGGACAACGCTTTTAGGCACAGCTTTGAATTAGGGTTGCCATCATGAAGTCAGAGTACCTTGTAAATCATTTTCTCTAGTCCAAAGGCTTCATACAACATGAAAAAGAACAGGTACAATTACAGCACTTCTAAGCTACCATATAACTGTGCCTGTTTATTGTATTCTTGCAATATAGTGGGCATTACTGGACAGGTTGGGACCAATTAATTTGTGCTAAGGTAGTATGAAGGACGTGGGTGGCACTGTGGGTTAAACCACAGAGTGTAGGACTTGCTGATCAGAAGGTCGGCCATTCGAATCCCTGTGACGGGGTGAGCTCCTGTTGTTCAGTCCCAGCTTCTGCCAACCTAGCAGTTCGAAAGCACATCAAAGTGCAAGTAGATAAATAGGTACCACTCCGGCGGGAAGGTAAACGGCGTTTCAATGCATTGCTCTGGTTTGCCAGAAGTGGCTTAGTCATGCTGGCCACATGACCCGGAAACTGTCTGCGGACAAACGCCAGCTCCCTCAGCCAAAAGCGAGATGAGCGCAGCAACCCCAGAGTCGGTCACGACTGGACCTAATGGTCAGGGGTCCCTTTACCTTTACCTTTAAGGTAGTATGAAATGTCTAAACAGCTATCTGCTGGTCTACATATTGGGGTAAAGCACAGAAGACCAATATGTGATGTGGCTGCCCCTGCTCTGGCTCTGGGTCCATCTGAACTCTGCATTTTGGATGCATCTAAGTAACACTGTGCACTGAGTCCAATACAAAGAGGTTCGATAGTCTTTACCCACTGAAAGTGAAGGAGGAAAATTTATGTATTTCAGACTTACATATGTTATATTCTACCTGCATTGACAACTGACATTATGAACAGCTCTACCTAATGTGGGCACAGCTTTTAAAAGCAAGATAGAGAAGATCCTAATTCCTATAATCAAACTGTTCAGCACCTGGGCAACAGGGCTAGGACGCAAATAAATTTCACATTTTTTTTGCAATGTCATGAACTTGGATTTCCTAAGTATGAAAATAGTCTCCTATATCTAAGCTGAGTGAATTTTTAAAAGACCAGCATAATAGATTTCTGACTAAAAGATGAGGGAAAGCTTATCAGTTGAGTAAAATTCATGAACGTTTTGTGAAATGCCTTAGATCTTCCTAATAAACTGAATTAGCATTTTGTTCAAGTTCATGGGAGTCATTTGTCTGTTACTTCACTCATTAACATGCTATTACTGCTACATGGGAATTAGCCAGAGCAGCCATGTGCTCCAAGACAGCACATCTCACAGATCAATCAGCCTCAGTATTCAGTAGTGATCTACTGAATGCAAATTTAATACTTCAAAAAGGCAACTCCGTCCTGCGGCTAAACTGGGTCAATTTTACATGAGCCATGTATCGATCTTCTCAGACATCTGCTGCTACCCAAATACAAGGCTTCACTGCGTAAATGCATCCAACAGTGTAGGTTTCAGAGGAGCAGAAAGTTACCAAAATCTTGTAATCCAAGTTTACTTCAAACAGGTACTGCAGGAATCCAAGCCTGACAGAAATGCAACTGTATTTAACCGCAACATTGAACAGTTTTGTTCAGCACGGAAGTTTTTAGATGCTGCAGTTTCATTAGCATTAACAAGTGTTGCTATGGGTACCAGAGTGGAGGCGTCGGAATATAAGTGAATGGAAGAAATAGGAAACAGATGAACAAAAATCTTCAACAGTTGGAGGGAAACAGCCCAAATTAGGCCGGCTTTTAAAAAGAAGACATCTTCCCTTCTCCTATTAGTTAGTGAGTCCATGTCACTATATAGGTCCTTTCTAAAAGAACAATGGAGTAATATACCACTCCATATAAGATATACTTGCACACATGTAGATCATTCTGGTAGATCTTGAAAACGAGAACATTTTTTTTAAAAAAAGAATAACTTTCCCAGCAATGGTGCACAGAATGCTTTATTTGTTTTAGAAATGTTATTGATTTTATCTGTTTTAATCTGTGTTTTAATGATGATTGTTTTATGTATAATTGTTTTCTAATTGACTTTTAGTTGTATTTTATCTTTAGCCTTATTTGTATACTGCTGGGAGAGCTCTATGATCAAGCAAATTATAAATCATTTAAAATAAATATGAACATCATGGGGATAGCATATTATTCCCCGTGTGAACACCCAAAATTCATTGCCCTGCAGAAAAATATTGTCTGTCTTACTACAGGGAAAATGGACTAGTCCTGTTTTGTCATTAATAACTTCTTCAGCTACATCCTGTTATTAGAAATCTTTCAGTACATGGACTGCAGATGGATTAGAGAGAGTTGTGTCTCAGTTCGCTGGAGGCAGCAGGTTCGGAAATATATCAAGAGTTGTCACAGAGAAAGAGAAAATACCAACAGCCACTGGATAAAACTGGTTTCAAGACCCTGTCCCACGTCATGGTCTCTCAGTCCCCCCCCCCCCCCGACAAGGCACTGTCTCAGCTTTAGAACACCAGATGTGAAACGCAAAGAGCTAACAAAATAAAAACCAGAGCATACTTTCTAATATAACTGATAAGTACAGTCGTACCTTGGATCCCAAACACCGGAAGTGAGTGTTCAGTTTGCGAACGTTCTTTGGAACCTGAACGTCCTGCAGCCAGCCAGAAGCTACGCCTTGGTTTCTGAATGTTTTGGAAATCGAACGGACTTCTGGAACAGATTCCGTTCGACTTCCAAGGTACCACTGTGCTGAGGTTCAACACATTCCTCCCACGTATATTTCAGGGTGGTTGTTTTTAATTATAAAAGGAAAATGCCTACTTCCGATTCCAACGTATGCAGCTCAAGCCATGGGTTGTTAAAGTTTTGAAATAAAGGAATACAGCAACTGCCTTATACAACCGGAAGCTAGTTTAGTATTGTCCACACTGCCCAGCAGCAGTTCTCCAGGAGGAGGAGGAGAGGAGTTTGGATTTGATATCCCGCTTTATCACTACCCGAAGGAGTCTCAAAGCGGCTAACATTCTCCTTTCCCTTCCTCCCTCACAACAAACACTCTGTGAGGTGAGTGGGGCTGAGAGACTTCAAAGAAGTGTGACTGGCCCAAGGTCACCCAGCAGCTGCATGTGGAGGAGCGGAGATGCGAACCCAGTTCACCAGATTATGAGTCTACCACTTCAGGGATTTAGCCAGGGTCTCTTCCAGCCGTACCTGGAGATGCCAACGATTGAAGGTGAGTCCTTGGGCATGTGGTGCATGTGCACTACCGTTGAGCTACAGTGATGTGAATTAACCAGTCCAGATCAAAACTGCCACAAACTGTTTGGTTAAAAGGCGGGGCCTGCTCCAAAAAATGGCAAGGCTGGGCCTTCGCGGATCAGCAGAGGGTGCATCATCTTGACAACAATATTATTTTTGCTTTCAAGAGGATCGGATGCAGGCCAGGATAACACTGGTCAACAACAAATTTGTTGTCTGCGTTTTTCCAGTTGATTTAGGACGAATCTGATGCTCTGAATCCAAAAATCACATTGGTTTTGCTCAATCAGGTCAAGTTTTTGAGCTATGGCCACATGTCGTTTTTTTACGTTTTTGTTCACATGTACGCTTGTGTGGAGCATTTTAGAAGAAGTTGGTGGGGGTAAAATGCCATGTCGAATAATTGTTTTGCTTGGAAATGATTGTTTTAATGACAAGAAGTATTCAGGTCCGATAGTTCTGGGTGATTATGTCGAAAAGGGATCAGTTTGAAGTCATAAAACCTGCGTTTTTTCTTGGAAGAGAAGGACTTGGTGTATTGTGCAGATATTGCGCAGCTTCTGCTCAAGCTTGGAGTGCCACAGTACGAACCCAAAGATTGGAGACTGTTCATCGACAACAGCAAGCGATCACTGAAATGTGTTCTGCTACACAATGGCAACCAGTTTGCCTCTATAGCCCTGGCTCACTTGAGTACACTGAAGGAGAACTATGAAGTGGTGAAGTATGTGCTAGAGAAAATTGGTTATGATCAGCATAAGTGGTTTATTTGTGTTGACCTGAAGATGGTGAACTTTTTGTTGGGACAACAGTCTGGCTTCACCCAGTACCCATGTTTTCTGTGCATGTGGGATAGTAGGGATAGTAATGCTCAGCATTACACGAAGAAGGACTGGCCTGTGCGGGAGGAATTGGTGCCTTGCAAAAAAAGAAATGTCATCAACGATCGTCTGGTGGACAGAGACAGAATACTCTTCCCACCGCTGCACATCAAGCTCGGCTTAATCAAGCAGTTCACCAAGGCTCTGGACAACGATGGTGACTGCTTCACTTACTTGTGCCAGGCTTTTCCAGGATTGACCATGGAGAAGTTGAAAGCTGGCATCTTTGACGGTCCTCAGATCCGTCAGCTCATCAGAGATCCAGAGTTTGGAAAGTCAGTGAACGAAGTGGAACTTGAAGCGTGGAAGGCATTTGTTCTGGTAGTGAAGAACTTTCTTGGCAACAATAAGGCCAGAAACTACGCAGAACTTGTCAACAACATGCTGACTGCTTTCAGAAACCTGGGCTGCAACATGAGCGTCAAGATGCACTACCTATTTTCACATGTGGACCGGTTTCCTGAGAACCCGGGTTCAATGAGTGACGAGCAGGGGGAGAGATTCCATGAGGACATGAAAGAGATGGAGACCAGGTATCAGGGTCGCTGGGACGCAGTCATGATGGCTGACTACTGTTGGACTCTGAAGAGAGACCTCCCTGCCGCTGAGCATTCCAGGAGTTCCAAGAAACGGAAGTTCAAGCCCTGAAGTTTGAAAAATGGTGAAGCAACTTGCAATTTACGTGTACTTACCTTTATCAATGCCCACCATTCAGTTTACAGTAAACCTGACCTGATGGAGAGAAACGGATGCCATTTCCTGATTCAGCAGTGCAAAAATACCCTAAATCAGTTGTAGAAATCTAGACAACATTCAAAAAGTAAAAAATTGTTGCCCAGTGTAATCACTTTGCATATTCTACTTCTTCCAGGTTAGGAGGGCCACTGAGGGTCCTCTGCTCAAGAGTTCCCATCAGTAGCAAGACACCAGAATTTATAAGAGGGAAATCTTGTTTTTCTGATACTAAGTGGATGGATACCACCAAAAAGCATTCTACATTCATGTATTCGGACACTGATTAAGCTGCAACTGAACCACCAGCTCAAGGAAACATCTGTAGCTCCATCTCCCCCCACCCCTTTCCCCTTGTTCATTTGATAAAAAAGGGGTGAGACCTGGTTAGAAAATGCTCTTATTTATGGCTTCCAAATCAAAAACTATTTTTCCCCTGGGTAATGGCCAATTCTGGAACAAAAGCTCCTTACAACTCTTTCTAAGTATTCCTTTTTCTAGTTCCGCAAGCTACCAAGTTATTAGCATCTTACATTTCTTCCTTTCTGGTCACAAAACCATGGTGCCAAACACGGAACACAAACATATCCATGGCCAACAGCACAAACCTAGTACCTAAGCCGATTAACCCTGAAAATCACACTATTTTAGTTACAACAACCGTCTTTTCATTTTTCAATTCTCCAAAGCAAAGGGAACAGGGCATAACTATGTCTTTTAAAAAATGCAGAAAAACAATAGGGTTAGTATAAAATTAATACCACCACTAACCCAACAGGAGCTACAACAGGCTCTAGCTCTGCGCATCATTCTCTGCTTGTGCCTACTATCAATATGAAGACCCAGGTAATGCAGGCATCAGCAAGAACAACAGGTTGCTCACCCTTGCTTTAAATGGTCCAGTGTTATGACAGTCCTAGCATCTGTGTCATTTCAATGATCAGCAGTGATTGCAGAGGCAAGCAACGGTTGGTTGAGAAAATGCTACATCTGCATTAATGGAGGAGGGTGTTATATGAGGCTACTTGAGTGTGTTACACACACATATGGATATACATCCCATCCTATTATTTACCACATAGGTCTCCTTGAAAACCTTACTTTCTGATTTAGGTTCTCTCCGGAGGACAGAGATGGTGCACCAACTTTGTTTCTCAAAGCAAACGTTAAACACAGAATAAGACAGTGTGGTCTTTCTGCACGAGTGGCTCAGTCCTCAATTGAAGCAGCATAGATCCTGTTTAATTCTGTGTCACTGAAGCTTTGAATAAAGCCGACTATTTTATTGGCATGCTATTATGCTTCCTTCATTCCAATCTTGAGTGCCTTTGTTTCATAGTGGCAATTCTAGCAACTTGGCCCTTTAGTTCAAATGCTCACAACAGTAGTTTCTACTTCATTAGGAAACAAGATTGGTAGCGGCTTCAAGTCTTGCATCTCATTCTCAAACTCAGCTCTTTTGGCAAGCTTCAGTAAAATTTTAGAAACACAAAAGATTTCCCCCCTCTGCTAACGAGAATATCTATATGCAACGTGTTCCAGGAGATTTTAAAAACGAACGCATCACATATTATCTGAATGAAGCCAGTAAACCTGGGATATCTGTTTCAAATAAATAAATTCAATATATGGCTTTGAACCCATTTCCATTTAAGTTTCACATGTATTTTTGTATATCACACCCCCTTTATACAGTGCACAACAGACAGAAGAACTAATAGTTTGCCACAGGTCAACCCAGGGATCTGCAACCTTTGGGGCACAAGGGTATATTTGGAAATCTAAGAAATTTCCTTGGGCGGCCACAACAAAACACTCATCTCACCAAATAAAAAATTATGCTGCACATAGATTCCTCTCCACTCTCAGACAACAAACCTAGAACACCTCACCCCAAAACCATAGGGAGGCAAACCCCTTGCAAAAAAAAGAAAGAAGAAAAAGAAAGGAAAAAGCCCAATTCTTACTTCCTTCTCCACACTGGGCACCCCAGGATTAAACCAAGGCAATCACTGTTAACCTTATAAATTTTCAAACCCCAATATTATCAGTTCCATGGAGCAGCATCAAAGGAAAATATCCCTTCCTAGACTACGTATGTCAGTTCAGGCTGCTGCTAGGAGTTTGTATGTTTTAATGCTGCAGTGCTTGGGTGTGGCAGTAGGAAATTCTGCCTTTCCACTTACCTCAATATGCCCCCCAATCAATTCACCCAACCTCCAGCATTGTGATGTGTGTGTGTGTGTGATGCTCACTTTTATTTTTAAAGAATAGCCAAGGGGCGTTATTTTATGTTCTATCTCAGGGCTGTGGTGCTTATCAACAAGATCAGAGATAAAAGATCTCTCTGGATACCCTTTAGAAAGGATCTCTGAAGAGCAGGCAGAGGAGTTTTATCTCCTGATCCAGAGATGTCCCAGAAGATGTATAAAAACCTTTGAATCAGTTTATAAAATGGGTTTTAGGTTAGCAGTCTCCCAAAAGCGATTTGTTCTGCGGTGCAGACCACCAGCAGATCTCATCTATACCCCATTTCCTGGCCTTTCCCCAGATAGCCAATGCATTCACAATCCGCAAATGCTTAAATACAGCCAATTTGGCAGGTTATAGAGTTAAATCTATTTTTCTACTACAAATCTGCCTGGTAAAAAGGGAGTGGGTGAGAGGAAAGAGATATACCTTTGCTTTAAACATTAAAGTTTAATTCATTGCTATTCTAATAAAAAAAACCTCCTCAAGGCAATCACAAAACAATAATAATAATAAAAATGTTGTATGAGAGTCGTTCAGGAATTCCCCATAAGCTCCTTGAATGTCACATGTGTTTAGACAAGCCACCCTTCAGTGCTAGCACTCCCAGTGCGGCTTACAGTAATATTAAAGCAATCAAAATAGAAACAATAATACCAACACTACAATACGAGAGAAAAGCAGTAAAAAACCAACCAACCAGCAGCAAAATTAAAAACCAGCACAAGCCATATTTAAGGGCCAAACCAGATGAGACTCCATTCATGCAATTAGCATTTGTGTAAATGACTTTTCTAAAAGCCAAACAGCAGCTCCTGCTCCAGATTGGGACCATAGTTTGTGGGGTGATGTATGTGCATGTGCAAATAACTCTCCCTCTCCTTCTCTCTCTCTCTCTCTCTCTCTCTCTCTCTCACACACACACACACACGTGTCTTGCTCCAGATTTGACCTCCCATGCCTGCTATCTACATTGGGGGAAAAGCTTTCAGATGCAAGGGGCAGGGGCAATATGGATCAGAAATGCAGCAAAAGCCCCTTTGCCTCACCCACAGCATTCTGGCTCAGGGCTTTCTCCCCCTGTGGGTTTCCCTGGCTGGTGCCTTCCGTCAGTGCTCTGCACCCATCCAGTCCATGACATCTTCTGAGGGCTACATGCCAGCAGTGACAGAACCAGCAACAGAAGTGGGCAGAGCAGTGGTTGCAAGTTTTACCTCTGCACGTTTTGGTGCCTACTCACATATTCACCTCTAATCTCCACCCAGGCAGGCAAAAAACATTATCCGAGTTCAGCGACACATTCCAATCAGGTAAAAACATGGTGGGTGTGGAGCAAGCAAATGATATGGAGCAGGGAGTGAATATGGCCCAGGGAGAGTCCAGGGGGACAGACAGAGAGGCCTCAAGTGATGCATTCGTTCCCCCGGCCTGAGGTTCCCTACCTCTGCTTTAAAGATAGGCATGAGCTCTTTGAATTGTACTCTGGAAGGGATCCTCAGCCAGCGAAGCCGTTTTAGACCCAACAAGATACACTTCCCTAAAGTTACCCCTACTCAAATAATAAGGTTTAATTATGTTAAACATAAGAAGAAAAGTGGCAGCATTTCAAAACGTTCAAATATACTATACTGTATACCATTCCTATACTAAAATTGTAATCCTATAATCTTAACCCAGGAAAAGCATAGGCACGCATAGTCTTGTGTTATTTGATGCTAAAGAACACAAGGTTTTTTTTGCACTCTGCCAAGAATCAATATATGAAACAGACTGCTCGACTTCCCTAGAAAGGACATTCTGTGCTTGTGGTGCCACCACCTACGGGGCCCCAAATCACATATTGTGGAATGGGATTTATCAAAAAGAAGGGAAAAAATACCACTATATGAAATGGTATGTGGTGGGGCAGGGGTTCTCAGGTAATCAGTGGGCATGATCTTACCTCCCGACTATATTCCTGTCGTATCTGGAGCTACGTATTTTGGTGGAGCATGCACACTTTTAATGCTACTTCCCTGTAGCAGGGCTTACGCTTTTTAAAAATAAAATAAAATGCCACTCCTAACTATGCTGCAACAAAGGTGATGTCTAATTATTTGGTAGTTATTTCACAGTTCTAGATAATTGTAAGAAAAGCAGGAGCAGGAACAAACGCTAATAATTCATGGGTGTTGTTGTTGTGCGAGTCAAATATAATGGACATAAAACCCAAGTAGAGATGTTTGAAACCTATGCATAAGATATATAGGAAAGGATTGGGTGCGGGAAGCTTGTTTTCCTCCCCATTTGTTGGATACTAGACGCTCTTGCTTCCAACCATCCATAACACTTAGTACAGTTATCAGATAATAACTTTAAAAGGTTTTACTTGTATGATAAAGATTTATTCGTATGATTTTAATTCAGTATAATTAACATCTACTATTTTAAGAAACCCAATTTTGGTAGTGATAATAACTGGAGCTTGGAATTTAATTAGAAAAGCTATTTCAGACATAATCACTTCTGCTTGTAATCATTACCCTTCTAACGGAACTGCACTAAAAGAATGTGCCTAAAACACCTGCTAAGGTTTTTCAGTAGGGAAGACATTGTTTTTACTCCTAAAGACAATTTTGAAAAGCCACAAGCCCGGAAACATCCTAAATTGCAATGTTAGCTGGAAGCACAGCCAAGACCAGATATTCCTAAGGGTCCGTTACGGCAGAGGAACAAGAAGGCTTTGGAATCTGAGAGCTTTCCATGAGTTTACTCAGGCCTTAACACAGCTGAGAATACTGCTGAAGAATGAAATGGATCAACACCTGGGCACCTCTCTTCTTTTGCCAACCTGGCTTTTCCAGTTGTTTTGTACAACAATTCCCATCAGTCCCAGTCAGTATGTGCTTGACATACATTACTTCTTATCTTCACAACAAACCTATGATGGTGAGATGCAAGATGTGTGTAAGGAGATGGAGAGTATGAAAGAGAATGGTAGCTTGCCTGAAGCCACTTAGTGGCTGAGACAAGGTTTGAACTGATGACTTCCTGATTCACAGGACACATTCGTCACCACTAAATCAGCTCTAAGATAAGTTTGGGTTAGAATGTCAAAAGCCACTCAGTGAACGTAATAGAAAAATGGGGATTTGAATCCAGATTTTTCTGATCTAAGGCATGTCACCATCCATTTAGTTATCACACTGACTCCTTAAACATCAGATGACATTCCACTGGCATAACCTTATTGGTGATGGTTTTCCTACAAGGTATGGGACGCGGGTGGCGCTGTGGGTTAAACCACAGAGCCTAGGACTTGCTGATCGAAAGGTTGGCAGTTCGAATCCCCGCAGCGGGGTGAGCTCCTGTCGTTCGGTCCCAGCTCCTGCCCACCTAGCAGTTCGAAAGCACCCCTAAGTGCAAGTAGATAAATAGGGACCGCTTTCTAGCAGGAAGGTAAACAGCGTTTCCGTGTGCGGCGCTGGTGCTGGCTCGCCAGATGCAGCTTCGTCACGCTGGCCACGTGACCCGGAAGTGTCTTCGTACGGTGCCGGCTCCCGGCCTCTTGAGCGAGATGAGCGCGTAACCCTAGAGTCAGTCACGACTGGCCTGTACGGGCAGGGGTACCTTTACCTTTACCTTTCCTACAAGGTGCTTGTACACAAAGACCTGAACTTGAATCTAGGACACCTTAAGGACTGCCTGAGCCCTTATAAGCCCAGCTTTACCACCAATATTATTCAGAGGAATGCTGTTAGTTGTCCATTGCATTTCAGATAGCTTCAGCTAGAACATGGCCATTCATTGTTGTTGGTCTCATGCTGTGGAATGCTCTTTCAGCAGATCCTTACTACTAACTTTCAGGTCTCTCTTGAAGACCTTTTATACTGATAGGTTTATTCAGTTTAGCTTTTTCCAAAAGAAGACAGTAGCAGAAGTTGTGGTAGTTATTTTGTATAATTCTCTTGATGTTTCATATTTTAATGTACCTGCATATATTATTGTACACTGCCTTGACATTTTATGAGGGAGTAGTTTTATAAATATTTTTATAAACAGATAACATAAATATGCCGTAAATTAGAAGTCCCCCCCCCCCCAAAATAGAGTGGCATAGAAATAATTCAAACAAATCCCTTTTTGTGTTCACCTGTGATAGAACTGAGCTGCTGTAACATAGAGAGTGCTGTTATGCACCTCTACTATGTAAATATTCACTAGCAGGTTGTTTTCTTCTGCTTCCCTACCACATTGCCAGATTGATTACAATCAGACACAGGAGCAGGATTCCCCAGAAGCACAGTGGGAAAGGGAAGCAAGATCTAGAGATTACTAGAAGAACAACAACAAGTGCCCTGAAAAGAAGAGAGATGGAACACAAAAAGGCAAAAACTGCTCTTCAAGGGATGAACATCAAAGCACACTGAAATGTTGCACCTCAAGGATCTGTGGGCATACTGAAGTCTTGCAGTTTGTTCCAGTTCTTTCCTTACGCTGACTTTCATTACAGAATGGGATATCATCTTCCTGAGGCTTCAGAGCTAGTGGCATGGCCTTTTATAAAAATTTGCAGGAAAGTGCGACAGGAGTAACTGCATAAGCACTTGGTAGACCAACTGGCCATATCAGGGATGCATACTTATGATTCAGTAAACCCAAATTTTGTCATCTAGGACACCTTTTACCCATTCTCTTGTACTTCAAGAATCTGAAGCATGTGCCACTGCAAGCTAAACCAATTTCTGACAAAGCTGGTGTTGTGTTCGATAAACACATGCCATATGTTTGTAGAAAATACTTGCTCATCCTGGATCTGTTTCCAGCCATTTCCCTTTCAGTCATCTCTTTACTTCAACTCATGCACATACGGTTCCAACATTACATCTTCATTGGTGTTTAGAAAGAAACCGGCAAAAACAGGCATGTGCCTTTCAAGGATGGAATGCAACTGCAAGCTAATACATGGCAAAAAGAAATAACATTCATCCCCTTTCTGTTGCAACAGCTTGGGCATAGCGTCCCAAAATACACCTGACAGTACAAGTTTATTCAGAAGGAAGACTGATGGCTTTCAACAGGATTTTCTCCCAAGCATTCAGGAAACTGCAGCTTGACAACACAGTCCTTTGTGAACTGACTCCCAAACACTTTGCACTCTGATTGGTGGGGCTTACTCAAAGTGCGTGCACAGAGTAACAGCCTGAATCCTTCAGACACCGTGCAGAGACTAGCCACAGATCTGATTTACCTGCACTTGTAGGGTTCAGAAATATATTTGGGTGAAAAGCTATATAGAAAGAGCCCGCTCTCTGTGATGATCAAGCGGGCCAACAGCTCCACGCTGGGCAAAATATTCCTGCATTGGAGGGGGTTGGACTAGATAACTCTCGTGGTCCCTTCCAACTGATTCATGTATCTGTAAACATTTTAGAAAATTTAAGGAGGACATATTTATTTGGCTTTGTATTATTCAGTTTTACTCCTTAAGGGTGCACCTAGTTTCCTGGAAGTAAACCAGCTGAACTCTAATGAGCTTAAATTTGAGGACCCACAGAGGAACACTGCCCTATAAAGTAGTAACGCCGTCGTACTTCTCTCAAGACACGTGAAAGTATTTGCATGATGGTTTGCACACCAGGTGACGATGCCTACACGTGCTGCAGACCCTTGCAACAAGCAGGCAAGGAAACGCTGTCATTTCCCTTTCCTTGCCACGGCCTGTCAACTTTGCCACGCACCTAACTATATAAAGGGGTTGGCTCAGTCGGTACAGCACGAGACTCTTAATCTCAGGGTCGTGGGTTCGAGTCCTGCCTCGCAGGGGGTTAGACTAGATGACCCCTCGTGGCTCCCTTCCAACTCTACGATTCTAATAATACCACGGAAGAGGCTCAAGTGTCACGTCAGCACACAGCGCATGAAGCAGCCACCGGCTGTAACGTGGTCTCCGGAACTCACCGCTCTTCCTCGCCCGCTCCGCCGAGCCTTGGGGAGTTGCCATGGCCACGGTCTGCAGCCGAGAGGATATCGCGCGGCGAGGCTACGCAGGCACGCGGGGGATTCCACCGGGCTGGGCCAATGGGAGAAGACGAGGCGCCCCTTCCCACCGCCCCTCGTCGTCGTCGACGCAAGGGATGTCGGGAGCGCCGGGCTCCGTCTTTTGTTTTGGCCGCGGGCTCTGCCCGAGAACATACGGCGCGGAACGGGAGGCGTGGCTTTCCGGAAAGACTACACTTCCCATCATGCAATTGAAACTTCATGAAGGGGGGCGTTGAGAAAGAGGCGAGCGAGAGGGGAAGGCGGGGCAAGGGGGCGGGGCTGGCGGCGGCTGTCCCAGAGCGCGAGCTGGGCTCCGTCAATCAGAACAATGACTTCTCCGCGGTCGCCTGAGGAGCGGAGCTGAGGCGCGCACAAGCGAGCGGGAGCGCTGGCCGCCGGGCAAAGGGGGCTCGCCGCTTGGCGGTCGCTGCTGCTGCTGCTGCTTCTGCTGCTGCTCTGAGGCGGAGGGGAGCCGTGGCTGCTGCTGCTGCTGCTCCTGTTATTGTTTGGCCAAGAGGGACCGAGAGCCGCCTTGCACTCTTTGGAGCATGTGGATTCCCACCGAGCACGAGAAATACGGAGTGGGTGAGTGAGGAGAACTCCCCTCAAGAGACCTCCTTGGGCGCCCTTCGGCTTGTCCTCGCTTTGCCCTCCCCGGGTCTTGCTTGCTGCTCCGAAGGGGGCGAGTCGGGAGAGGAGAAGGCGAGGCACCCATCCTTCGCACCCGCCGCGCACCCTTTTGCTCCTTCCAACCTTGATCTTGGCAATTCGTGCATCGGTCTGTTTACTTTCCAATCGGATGCTGTTGTTTGGTGCGAGCGAAAGACCCATCATTGCATGAGATCAATGCTCTTCCCGTTCCTCATCCTTCAACATATCACACACACACACACAGAAAAAGTGCCTTTTTGTGGTTTTGGAAATGTGGAGCAAAGGGGGCGGGGAAGGATTCTATCTTATTATTAAAAAAAAAAAAATTGGCGACCATTGCTCGTAAGAGTAAATGGCTTTTTTAAAGAGTCTGCATGCAACGCGATATCCAAACAATGTATCCAATTAAGCAAGCAACATCGTTAAAAAAAGGGGGGGGGTGTTCCTCAGTCCTCTTGGCGTCCTGGATAAAAAAGAAAAGCAGACTAAGCAAGCTCTCGATTGTGCGAAAATGTGTATTTTGGCATAGGATTTAAAGACAGGCTAAAAACTGCTGCCATCTTTCGTGTAGATTGCGAGAGGCACCAGTGCGCGGCTGAATGTGATGTGGGGTGTGTGTGTGTGTGTGTGTGTGTGTGTGTTGGGGTTGGCCGAGGAGTGTTTTTGTTTTAATCTGGATAGTAACCTACTTCCAGTAGTGGTGTTTTTGTTCTCGGCTTTAATGGAGTACAAAAGTGTTTGGATTGCCCAAGGAAACAGACAGGGTGGTGTATTGTCAGTTAGGGAACTTGCGATCCTGTTGGAGGAGGAAAGGCTGCTTCCATCCTCTCTTACAAAAGGTGAACAACAAAGGACGTTAGATGTTGACTGATGAATGTGGAATTTCGCATCTTTCCCTTCACCCCGCCTCCCAACAGCGGCATGTAGGTTTTCTTCTGATTTTCCTCTCTCCTTATACACACACACCCTTGCCTCAACTGACTATTTAAAGCTCGCATTTTCTCTCTCCTTCGTCACTTACACCAGATTCTTCTGATACTACTTGGGGCTATTAATTTCAGCCAGACAGATAGCAAGCTTTCCGTTTTAAAGAAAACAAATGTTAAGCCTGCGATATTATTTCTTACATTGTGCCTCATTTTAAATTTACTTTCTAAATGATGTGCTCTGGGTTTTCCCTGCTCTGGGTTTTGGATAGCAGTTGCCAATGGGTGATGGGGTTATTTTGCCCACCTCTCCTTTGGAGATGAGATTGCAGGGTCTCTTCAGCTGATAGACAAAGTGATGAAGTATTGCTTATTGTTTTGTTTCGTAGTTGCTGACTAGTTCACCCCAATAGCAGCTGCTTTGATTGGCTTTACAGGTGAAGGGCATGCCAAGAATGTTGCTCGCTCTGGTCTTGAGGTATGCTTGCATGCTGAATTGCAGGTGTAACGAAAAATCCAGCTGGAATGCAAAGACTTTCTGTATATGTGTGTGTGAGATCTCTCTGTATTTAACCATGAGCATGGGAGCCAGGACGCATGCCATGCAACTGCTCCATTTGGAAATGATCCCAGATGCTGCTCTATGACCCAAATGTTAAATTATACAGATCATTGATGGGATTTATTTTCTTGACTTCTTTATGTACCCAGTCACAGCTGGGCTGCTGGATATTGATTAGTCCTCCCATTGATCTTTGCGGGGAAAATACACACACTGAGCTATGCACATGGATTGAAAAGCCACTTTGGTATTTCCTGGAATGGCATGTGGGATATTATTGGTCAAGTATTTCAAGCTATAACATTTGCTTGCATTTTTTTAACACTTTGAAAGGGCCCCCCCCCAACAACTGAAACAGATTTTCCATATACGAAGAACAATCTGAATGCTACAGTTTATTTCATGGGAAGGAATACACACACACACACACACACACACACACGCAATCTGAATTGCCAACCTAGAGTTGCTGGACCATAACATTTTCCTTGAAAGATGTCTCTCCCCAGCGAACTTTGTATTGTGATCTGGTTTCTTCCTCTCTGTTGAAGTGGAAAAGGTGTGACAGCGTTGCTAAGCTATTATTCTTGTGATCTCAGGGGAAATACAACATACCCTTTCCTGAAGAAAAAAACCAACCCTTTGAACATGCCCTTTCCTGATCTAAATATTTGGTTCTCTTTCTTGAATTGCTTTCAGCATATGCCACTGTGCTACACGGAGAATGCACCAGGCAATTGTCACTGGCTGAGTAGAGTACACGTGCTGGCTTATGAATGGCTTCAATGTTGAGTCAGTGATCGCTTTGGTGTATTGCCTGAACATTTGCCAGAAAGAGGCCTTAGGCACCTCTTCATTAGCGCAGTTAGTCACCAGACAGGCAACTGGCTTTTCTTTCATCACCTTAAAAATGAATTGCTGTTGAAGCAAACCCGTAAGAATCCTGAGATGTGAAGAGCAGCAAGTGCAGGGAAATGATAAAACGTGTGTGATGGGAAGTACTGTTAACTCCCTTATTACATGCAAACCTAAGAGCTGTATTTTATTAATATGAAGGGTTCATGATTTTCAGTAGGCCTTTGCTGCCTGCTTGGTGTACAGCCCGATACTGTGCATATTTGCTCAGAAGTAATGTCCTCCTGAGTGCTGTGGGACTTCTTCCCAAATAGTAAGCATTAGACAGCAGCTTCCAATATGGAGTTCCTCCCAGCCTTTCTCAACCTGTGGGTCCCCAGAGGTTGTTGAACTACAACTCCCATCACCCCTAGCTAGCAAGGCCAGAGCTCAGGGATGATGGGAGTTGTAGTCCAACAACATCTGGGGACCCACAGGTTGAGAACATAAGAGTGCATATGGCAGCCATGCAGCCTGGCTTAAATACGTGTTTAAGTAACTCTTGCCTAGGATTACAGCCCTAATACTATATATATTCATACCAAAGCCCCAGTGTGTTCAGTGGGTCTTAATTCCAAAAAAGCACGTACTGGTATATAGATTCAGCCTTACGTTGCAATCCTAAACTCATTCACTAGGAGTAAATTCCTTTGAACACACTGGGACATACCTATGAGTAAACATATGATTCCTCTATTACTGTGTATGCAACTATGAGCCCCCCCCCTGCCCAAAATATGACCAATTTGTTTTCAGTCCAACTTTCTCCCAGGTAAATAAGAATTGTTAAGTTTGCTATTCTCCGCACACTTACCTGCAAATGAGCAACATTGACCATAAATATGCGTTCAGTTTGGCTATTATTTTTCATCCTAACGATTTTATTACAATGATGTACTGAGCCTTTTTAAGGTTCCTGCAGCCCAGTTAGAGCTTACATCAAACACCATCATTTGAATTTTGCATGTCCAAGGGGGCTAATGCTATAGAGTTGTTGCACTTTAGAGTATGTATTGAGCTTAATCCCATCCCCCCATGATTCTGCTCAGTGTGTCTGATGTGGAACTCAGCCCATGCCATGAAAGATGTCCATAAAGTTAATCTGGAAGCTGTAATTTTTTGTGAGATATTTAATTCTCCTTTAGCTCACACCAATCTCAATTCATTTCTTGAATATATCAGCAAACTGAAAGTTGACATGAATTCCATTGGTAACTTGACTTCAGGAGAACCTGTTTAAAGTTCTCCTATTAATCTAATTTTAACGTGGCCAGTGAACATTTTGCAGAGTTATTTTGTAAGTCATGGCTTTTAACTGAAAGTCAACTAGCCAAACCTGAAATGAATGTGCGAAACAAGTGTGGAATGTGTTCTTCCTGAAATTAACAGTGGAGGCACCTGGTTGTATCTGGGGAAGAATTTGGAGCTGGCCCATGTGAAATCAGTGTCATTTTAATTTACTTTCCACATTGTTTGACTAGTTCAATGGGTTGCTCTTTTACCTGAGGTGAGGTAGCTAAAATAATGGCCTGGGGCCTCATTTAATAATTTTGGTTTTGATTTTAAGCACCATAGGCACAGACGGTGGGAAAAGCTGGATTTTGTTGTGGAAGCAGAAGGCGAAACCTTGGCTGGCTGGATATAGCTTATGAGCTGTTCAGCCTATGAGCTGTGCATGGCCTTCTCTTAGATTAGAGGATTAAGTTGTTATCTATTAAAAGTGATGAGAGACTCATCTGTCTCTGCTTATTTTGCCAAATGGAAGTGATATCTCCCAAATTCCCTTGGACTTCAGCTGATCCAGAATTTTGCTTCATGTTTTAATGCACTGAAATTTAAATACAGCTGGTCATGTTACTTATTCAGTAGAGAAGTCCTAGTTATTGAAGAATCTCAAGAAAAGGTACCCATGGCCACAGGTCGGCTGGGTCACTTGTTTTGCTTATTACGGAAGAGGAAAACTATGGGAAAGACAATTGCAAAGGAGAGAACCTTCCCATCATAGGATGTTTACACCTCATTCCTTTTCTAAACGGGCTTTTTTCCTGACTTGTCTGTTTACTCAGACCCTGTCTTTGAAAGTGCAAATTGAAAGACTCTTGGTTCATTTTTTGCTATTGTGCTGT